TTAAGTACTAGTCTTCTAGCAAGTTGCCTAGTAGTAAACTTATAAACTAGATCATGTGTATTAGTACTTTTAGACTTGTAGGCTAGTCTTGTTAGTCTAGACCAGGGACTATAAAATCTACAATTGATAACTTTCGGCCTTTTAGTATAAGCCTAATTATTAATGAATTACAGGGTACAAAAATTAATAAATTGGTCAGAGTCAATATGGTTACAGTTAGCTGTTAATAGAATTAAGTTTTAGATCTATTGACTACAATTTTTAGTTACAAGTAATGAAAATGAAACTAATAGTTTTGTAATAGTTAAGATATGGTTAACTGTAAACCAGATATTTTAGTTTTTAAGACAAGCTAAGTAGATAGAAAACTGAACCTTTACAATAAATTAAACCTTTTATAAATATATATATATATATATATATATATATATATATATATATATATATTAATATCTCATATTAGTTAAATAATTATTTTAATATAATATATGGATAAACTTAATAATTTATTATATTTAAATTCCCTAGGTACTTGGCAAGCAATTTTCTCACACTTTACTGTGGCTATTGGTGCTGATCTTGAACTAAAGGTGAGCTGAATTTTTTTTTTATAATAAGCCATTTTTCAGCTTAAGCCCAAGTTTGAAATCGATTCAGTGTTCTAATTCTTAAAGAATATGTTGCTACTAAGATTATATACTGTAAGTATTAATATGTATGGCTTGATAGTGGGACTGTCAGACAGTAGCTTTCACATTTCTATCCTAAAAGATAAGAGTTCAGATCCCTGGTTTTAGTCCTGGTATGATGTCCTAAGTCTCATGAGTACCAGCTCTCATGAGTACCTGGCTCAAGATAGGGAAATTAAAGGTGGCTGGGTATATACCTCTGAACACTCTAATTTTACATGCAAATGTCACAGAAACAGGTGAATTTTAATTCAACTGCTATATTGGCTGTCTGTTTTAATCAATGATTAATTTTTTCATATTACAGAAAGTTGTTAAAAATATTATTTATTTAATTTCTAGGTAAATGGAACAGCATGGATGTGGATTTTTAGACACAAGGAAGCTGAATTTAACTTTTAATGAAGAATTTAAATGATGATTGTCCATGAAAAGAAATATTAATCATATACATTGTAATGCTGTATTGATGCATCTTCTGTTTTAAGTAATTAAAAAACCATCCATTTATGAAATTATTTTCATTTTTTTTTTTCAATTTTAAAACTGTAGTTCTGTTTTGTTATTTGAAAACAATGATGAAAGTATACTGAACTGCCATTGAGATATTAATATAAATGCTATTGTTTATAGTTTAATTCTTTCAGAAGCAACTATATTGACATCAAAACTGAATCTTTATTGTACACTAAGTATAAAAGCTTACCCGCAAACCAGTCCATGTCAACAATTTATTGACATTCAAACATTAAATTTTTTTAAAGGTGATTTTTCTTAAATAAAACAGACTACTTTCATATGGGATAAGAAACATTTAATTTTGAAATTGATTGGTTTATTAAATTTTAATGGAGCTGAAACTAAAACACTGGGTACAAATTTATTATTACTTTGTTTCTCAGAAAATTGCAAATTTTGAACATAAGAACTGTGGGAAGTAGGCAATGATGTTAAGATATCTCTTGAAACTTGAAGAAATTGTGGAAGGTTTAGAGATAGAAAACAACATTTCAGAAGATGATGTTTGAAATAATGGTAAAATATCTTTAGCAATTGTTACTGAATAAATATTTTCATTAGACAAATCACATTTAGATATAGAAGAATAAGGTATGTCTTCAGATTTTCTTATCAGCGAAGATCCTGGGTGATTCTCTTTGTTACCATCGGTCAAACGACAAGCCAATTCTGGAAAATTCATTGGGTTCTTTGCCTGGGCAGCTAAATATATTTAAATTAAGTTCATGCAAGGCTTTAGAAACATCAATTGGATAAAACTCTATAATTTCATTAATTTTTTATTAATATCAGCTCCAAAGGAATAATATAAACAAGTTACACATCATCAATAAATCAAATTTGCAGATATTTCCATTTCACCAAACTTTCTCTAAGTCATAATATATATTTTAAATTCATGGCATTTTGTTAGGCTAGATATCTTGACTTTTATTTACCACAATAATCTGATTATATAAATTAGGATTACCCAGCTATCATACATTCTTCTTTTTACTGCCCTCCTTTATGAGGGGGAGGTAAAAATCATCATAAAATGTGTGATGCAATTTACAGATGAACCCTCTCTCTCTCTACCCCTCCCCCTATATATATATATATATATGTATATCTACATAATCTCTAAAATCATGTTGGTACCTCTACCTGTTTGAATGTTAGGCCCCTTTCCTTCAACTGTTTCTGTGTGGATCTTCTCCATGGGGGTCATCTATAAATGACGTCACGCATTTTTTTGACGATTTTTACCTCCCCCCCCCTCCCCCTACACATCATCACAAAAAGCCAGACCCCCACCCCCTAAAATGACGTCACACAGTACTAGATTCTAGATCTAAATTACTACAGTTGCCTACACTCTAGATTTAGTTCTTAAGTTCTACAACAAGACTACACTAAACTTCGCTAGATCTAGAATAATCTAGATTCTATATATAAATTGATATTGAACATATTCTAGTCTACCTGTCTTAAAGTAAATAGCCTATTTAGTAATTTAGTAATTAATTCCACTCAACTACACTGCAAAATAAAAGAAACTAGATCTAGAATCTAGATCTCTAGACTACTCTTTAGTCTATAAATTAAAAATAAATCCTGTATGTCGTATGTTACTGTCTAAGTCGGAATTTTCAAGAGGGTTTTTTTTAAGTCATAGATCTAGATATAGAATTCTAGATCTAGAAATCTAGACTCTAGATCTAGGCTATATATTTATTTATTAATTAAATTAGGCTTGATTTCAGATTTACGATCGAAATCTTTTAGGCCTATAAATATCATATTTTATATAGATTATAGATGTATTATTATTATACAGGTTGTATTCTAGATCTATCTAGATCTATATAAAATATAATATATTTGTGTGTGTGTGTGTTATTTTAAACTTAATTTACTTAAAACAACTTATTGTCGGAGTTTTTTTTATTCCAAAAACGAAAGTAGATTTCATAACTTAAAAAAAAATAAATAAAAAATATTCACATTTGGTTTGAAAAAACAAAAAAACGCCAGCTGGCAACTACCGGAGCGAGAACTTGGTAAGCTACTTTAACAACTTACAAGCCCAATATATATTTAAAGAGTGAGCGATAAGATAGTGTTCTGTTCAATTTTGAACATTTGTAATGAAAGCCCAGAAGCCGAACTCACGACTTTCTGGATAACTAGCGTAAAGTCTACCGCTAGACCACGCCGTTCCCAGTAAGTGCAGCTGAATATTATTTTTATTAAGTTCTCTGAAAGAGATTTTTACGTCGTTGCTTATGCCTTAGACAAGGATTATATTACGGGTTCGCCAAAAGGCTAGATATATTTAGAAATATTTTTTAAAGAAAAAAGTCATACCAGCATATAGCTTTAGTAACGCTAAACCAAAAAAAAATTTTTTACTTTTTAGTGCATTTTTTTCTTTTTTTTTTTTTTTTTTTTTGTGATTTGTGAATATAATAAAAGATTTTTCCTTAATTTTTTTATGTGAGATTTTTTTTTCTACTTTTTAGTCATTTTTTTAGACTAAAACGACTGATGTTTGCGTTAAAATAAGCCCAGTAACTTGTAACTTGTGGTCTCTCAAACTGAGTTACCTGCCCCTAATTACCCCATGGTCGGCCAAATCAGTCAACCGTGAACGGAACAGAGTTCATTCAGCTTCGACGGTCCTCTGATCAAAAGACAGCTAGTATTTTTTTATCTCGTTATTTTTTTAGGAATTTTTAAATTAAATTTTAATGAATAATTATCAAACTAATTTGACAATAAATTCAATATTCATGTATTGTCATCAAAGCTACCATTGTGCCAAAATTTTAGCTCAGTCGGACAATGGGAAGGGGGTTAAATTAAATTTCCGAGATTTGCGATATCTACGATTGAAAATATAGTAATTTTACATTTTTAAATTAAGTTGTAATGAATTATTGTCAATCAAATTAGATTTAACATCCGATATTATTTTATTGTCACCCAATATCTATAACATTGCAAAATTTCAACTCAATCGGACAAATTGATTTCAAGATTTGCTGAACCACACACAAATATACTGGGTACACCAAGCAAATTGGGCTCACAATTGACTGAAGATTTGTATTCAACGATCGAGAGAAAGGATTGTACACCATCCGGTTTCAAACAGTTTAAATAAGAGCGCCATAAAACCAAAGAACGTATGAAAGTGACTTTTGAAGTAGGATATAAAGATGATAAATATCATTAGGAGTTGGAAGAAACTAACATAGATAACAGACTTGCAAAATCAAGACAGACAAAAAGATAATGTTAGATACTATTTTCTCATTCCTAAGCTATTCGCCATGTTAGAAACTATTTGCACGTCCTAACCTACCCACCGTGATAATATTTACACATACCTAAGCTATTCGCCGTGTTACATTCTAAATATACATCATTAAGCTACTCACCATGTTAGATACTACTTGCACATTCCTAAGCTATTCGTCGTATTACTATTTGCACGTTCCTCGGCTATTAGACGTAGTACCTACTACTTGCACATCCCTAAGCTACTCGCCGTAATACTATTTTCACACAACTTAACTATACTCCATGTAACATACTATTTGCAAATCTCTAAACTACTTATCTTATTTTGGAAAGTCTACGGCTTAGAATGCGGTTGTTCTAAAGTTGAAGTTAAAGAAAAAATCTACAGTTATGAGTATCTTAACTTAGCGGGAAGATCTATTATATGAAAATCAATCGTGAAAAAAAAATGTAATTCAGGGATGTTCTGTAATGTGAGAATCTATACTGCAAAAAAGTTCAGTCTAAAGTTGATACGACTTTATTTGAGATAATTGGAATTCAAATTGTTAACATGACCACATTTGTTCTTAAATCTATGATACACACAATAATTTAGTTAACATACATATAAAAGTTATATGTTCAAAATTTGTTTTTATTGTTTTAAACTTGGTGTTAGCTACATGTGTAAAAGTCCCGCTTGTCTGTTTCTAGCAGACGATTCGTCATGCTGGGTTATGTCTAGCAGACAATGTTGACGAACGACTTCACCTGCGGCTCATGTCTCACCACATGCGTGCAGTTCATGTTGCCAGATATCAAGTTCTGGGCAAGTCGACAGGCCACACCATCGCTCCGGCAAAACCACCTCAACTGCAGCATAAGAAAATCCACAATATCCTCAAGCCCACTGCTCATAGACATGCAGTTGATGAACTTCGCGGACGTCACAGCGAAGCCGAAGTTCTGGAAGAGATTAGCGAGACCAGCATTGCTGCATGATTTGAGGGCGACGATCAAGGCAGAAGTGGCTGTCGGCGAGCCGGGGAAGTCCACCAGCCCCCCGTTGGTGGTGGCGTGGTAGGTGAGCGCGAGGCGGGGGCTGCGGATGGGGGAGCGGTTGGTGATGGTGCTGATGGTTCTGGTGCCGTTGTCCAAGCACAGGGGTTCAGTTCCGTTGGTCCAGTTGTTAAACCAGGGTTCGTTCGCTTCCTCGACCTCGATAAAAATACCTGTTTGAATGGAAAAAAATGTTTGTTGTCATTAATAAATACCTAGAATATTTATATTAAGACATACGACCTCGATAAAATATCCTGTTTGGATGAAAAAAAAAACAAATAGTGATTGTGGTCGTTACTGAATACCAAGAAAGAGTGAAAATCTGGAACTTTATAAAAGACTCTACAAAAAAAGTTTACAAAGAAAGAAAGCGAGGGCTAAGTTATCTAGAAGGAAATAATGCGAAACCACGGCGGAGTGCGGGTGGTGTATAACTAAAACTACAGAGCAGAACGACCTGAATAGATAGTGTCGAGACAGATCTACTGCTGTTCGGACATTACAAAAAAGACAACAGACATTACAAAGAAGACAGAAGACATTACAAAGACGACAGAAGACATTATAAAGAAGACATAAGACATTAGAAAAATGACAGCAGACATTACAACCAGAATATATTACAAAGAAGACAGCAGGCATTACAAAGAAGACAACAGACATTTCAAAGACAGACGACATTACAAAGAAGACAGCAAACATTAAAAAGAAGACATCAGACATTACAAAGAAGACATCAGATGCTACAAAGAAGACAGCAGACATAACAAAAAAGACAGCAAACATTACAAAGAAGACAGTAGACTTTACAAAGAAGACAGAAGACATTAGAAAGTAGACATTACAAAGAAGACAGAAAACATTAGAAAGTAGACATTACAAAGAAGACAGAAGACACTAGAAAGTAGACATTACAAAGAAGACAGAAAACATTAGAAAGTAGACATTACAAAGAAGACAGAAGACACTAGAAAGTAGACATTACAAAGAAGACAGAAAACATTAGAAAGTAGACATTACAAAGAAGACAGAAAACATTAGAAAGTAGACATTACAAAGAAGACAGCTTACATTACAAAGAAGACAACAGACATTAGAAAGAAGACAGCAGACTTGACAAAGAAGACAGCAGACAGCACGATCTACAACACCTTGGGCACCAGACAAAGAAGACAACAGACAGCACGCACCTGGATGAGTACTTTTCTCATGGTCGTCGAACGCCCTAATGCCAAACTTGATCCCACACGGCGCGGATGACACCAGCAGAATCTTCGAGTCGTACCGGAAGTAGTCGACGGTACAGGACAAAGGGTTGACCAGCTTCTTCAGCACCAGAGGCGTGATGCTGCTGAACTTGACGTAAGGCTTAAACACCCCTTTCTTTTTGGCTTCAATGTTCCAGATATGTGCACCTACAGGCATTTTGTTTTATCATAGCGTACATTAATTGACATGATAATGACTTAACATTTCCACATTATAATTATTTTTTTCAAATGTAGGCCTCTACTTAGAAAATGTAATTAAAAATTGTTATTTTGAGATATTCGTCTAAATATCCAATTGAAATATTTAACCTACAGCATGCCGTTCAGTTAGATAAATTAGTATAAAATAATTCATTTGCTTCCCCCCCCCTATTCACCCGAAAATTTCTAGTAACCATCCCCCCCCCCTTTTCGCGGTAAAAAAAAGTCTGAAAGAAATTCTGGCAGTGGGTCATACTATGGTGTCGTCTATAAATGACGTCACACTCGTAGGGGGAGGGGGTCTGTAATTTTTGACGATGTGTTGTGAGGGGAAGGGGAGGGGGGTTCAGATGATGCGACGTCACACTTTTGCTTTATAAAATAAACCGGGAGTGATCTCCCCTAAACTTTCTAGAATATTCTTATATAAAATAACAGGGGATGGGAACTCGGGCTATAGACATGATTTTTAATCCATTTTAAATACTTAAAGTTTTAAAAATAGAATAAAATCTCGTAGACAAATTAATTGCACACCAAGTGAACGCCAAATAAAAAAGCGCATAATAGTGCGCAATATTATTAGTACTTTTAAAATTTACATTAGTTTTTTGAGAAATCGGAAGTAGCGTAAATTACTACTTCCGGTCAACGGAAATTACTCAAAATGTTACAGAAGGTAGAGAATTAGATCTTTTACTTACATGTGAAATTTCATTTATCTATCTGAAATAGTACTCAAGTTATAGGCTTTTGAAAAATTCGAAGTAGGAAAAGTACCACTTCCGGTTATCGGAAATCGCTCAAAAGTTGATAGGGATCTACGATTTTGATAAAATACTTATATATGAAATTTCATCAACATAACTGTAACGGTACTCAAGTTATCGTGTTTACACACGGACAGACAGACACACAGACACACAGACACACAGACATACGGACAAGATTGCAAAATTATGTTTTTCCGTATCAGTGAGGTGTAAAACGTCGAGATTTGTAAAAATGTCGATTTTTTTTTGCACGATTACAAGACTTTCTCTATACTTCGTATATACGAGAAAGTAAAAAAGCAATGTTAGAAAACGAGTTATAATCGTTATTTTGCATTCTAGAAAACGGTTTTATTAAATTGTAATAGCAATCGATCAAAATACTCTATGTTGACATAGTTTAGACAAGATTTTGGAAAAATATCGATGTTTTAAGAAAAATTCAACAGCAATTTTGAGGGGGGGGGGGGGTTGTAGGCTGAGGGGGGGGGGGGGGGGGGCTGGCTTCTATGACGACGTGTGACCAAGGGGAGGGGGGAGGTAAAAATCGTCCAAAAAAGCGTGACGTCATTTATGGATGAACCCTAGTCATATTATTATAACATTTTCAAAAAATTATAAGCTTAAGTCTAGACTTGCTATCCAAAGAATCAGCGCGTGACATGATTATACTGAGCACTAAATAGAATGACGTTACATCCGGCCTACCTACCGTTGACTACGCTGGCGAAGATTCTGTGTTCGATGACAATTTCATCGTCATCGACCGCGCAGATGAGCTCAAACTAAGATGACATAAACATAAAGTTAATAATGTTAGGTTTTTCTACAAAACAAATAAAATAAAATCCTATAATGATTAGTACATTATTTTCATATTTTTTAAACGACAATGTTTACTACTCCACTTCATTTAACACCCTTTATATGCCTTTAAAGTACAAGTAATTTTAGTGAGTCTATTACACATTTAAATTTTTTTTAAAAGGAGGGAGTTTCATATACGCCACGTGAGATTATATGCTAAAAATTATAAATAGCAATGGCGGGAAGAGGGGGGGGAGAGGTATTAAATGCTATTTATTTTGAACGCAGGAAAAATTAGGTACTTTACTTTTGATCATTATGTGCACATTTATCAACGATCAGGTTTCTAAAAATTCACGTTTTTTTTTTTTTTTTAAATCTTCCGGTGTGTAGGTCCTATTTAAAGTCTAATTTACATAATCCTGTACAAAAATCTGTATAACAATGAGACGGCATCCCATTATAAACATTATTACGCTAGACTAAAATCAACTAATACCTAGTAACGTTTGACTACTAAAGCTTTGGAAACATCAGTTAGTTGCAAGCTTTTAATTAAAATTGTACACTTAAATCTCGTATTTGATAAATTACTTGTCTATCTTTGATTAAAAAAATGTACGCTCCTCGTTGTATTATTTGCAGATGTTTAATTTAACATTTGAAACCTTATTTTTAAAGCTATTTTACGTTAATTGAAAAAAAAAATCATCCCGAATTATATCTAAATTACAGTCGGCTGGTTGATAAAAATATACCCCAAATTCTATTTGCATTACTTGTAGACCGTTGATGAAAGCCATACAACAAACTCTCTATATTACCTGTAGCCCGTTGATAAAAACTTTGCCCCAAACTCTCTTTATTACCTGTAGACCGTTGATGAAAGCCATACAACACACTCTCTATATTACCTGTAGACCGTTGATAAAAACTTTGCCCTTGACTCTCTACATTACCTGTAGACCGTTGATAAAACCCATCCAACAAACTCTCTACATTACCTGTAGACCGTTGATAAAACCCATCCAACAAACTCTCTACATTACCTGTAGACCGTTGATAAAACCCATCCAACAAACTCTCTACATTACCTGTAGACCGTTGATGAAACCCATCCAACAAACTCTCTACATTACCTGTAGACCGTTGATAAAACCCATCCAACAAACTCTCTACATTACCTGTAGACCGTTGATAAAAACTTTGCCCCAAACTCTCTATATTACCTGTAGACCGTTGATGAAAACTTTGCCCCAAACTCTCTATATTACCTGTAGACCGTTGATGAAAACTTTGCCCCAAACTCTCTATATTACCTGTAGAACGTTGATGAAAGCCATACTACAAACTCTCTATATTACCTGTAGAACGTTGATGAAAGCCATACTACAAACTCTCTATATTACCTGTAGAACGTTGATGAAAGCCATACTACAAACTCTCTATATTACCTGTAGACCGTTGATAAAAACTTTGCCCTTGACTCTCTACATTACCTGTAGACCGTTGATAAAAACTTTGCCCTTGACTCTCTACATTACCTGTAGACCGTTGATAAAACCCATCCAACAAACTCTCTACATTACCTGTAGACCGTTGATGAAAGCCTTACAACAAACTCTCTACATTACCTGTAGACCGTTGATAAAAACTTTGCCCTTGACTCTCTACATTACCTGTAGACCGTTGATAAAACCCATCCAACAAACTCTCTACATTACCTGTAGACCGTTGATAAAACCCATCCAACAAACTCTCTACATTACCTGTAGAACGTTGATGAAAGCCATACAACAAACTCTCTATATTACCTGTAGACCGTTGATGAAAGCCATACAACAAACTCTCTATATTACCTGTAGACCGTTGATGAAAGCCATACAACAAACTCTCTACATTACCTGTAGACCGTTGATAAAACCCATCCAACAAACTCTCTACATTACCTGTAGAACGTTGATGAAAGCCATACAACAAACTCTCTATATTACCTGTAGACCGTTGATGAAAGCCATACAACAAACTCTCTATATTACCTGTAGACCGTTGATGAAAGCCATACAACAAACTCTCTACATTACCTGTAGACCGTTGATGAAAGCCATACAACAAACTCTCTATATTACCTGTAGACCGTTGATGAAAGCCATACAACAAACTCTCTATATTACCTGTAGACCGTTGATGAAAGCCATACAACAAACTCTCTACATTACCTGTAGACCGTTGATGAAAACTTTGCCCTTGACCCTTTGCGGCTGTGCCCAGAGGGTCAGGTGACACGTGCCGCCATCTTCCTCCTCCAGATTTTTGGTGTTGACTTCTGCAAACTTGGTGGAGCCCAGCAGATCAAGGACCCGTCGTTCCCCGATAAACGTCAGCAGGGATGGGTCATTCATGAGCCTGGGGACAATCAGAGATTTATTTATTTCAGCTGGGCTTTAAATTAAATCCCTAGAAAACTTAAACTTAGATTTTAAAGTAAAAAATTAATAGTTTATTTTATCTAAATTTTATCTAAATCTTTTTCACAAGTTCTAATACGTGATCAAGTCAGTAAACGTTCCTGAGTCCACCCAGTTCTGATGGGTACATAACCCCTGTTAAGGATACAAAGGAAGCTAGATATATTGTTGACCACGTTATTCATTTAAACAGATGAACTCTACTTCATCTTCCCCGTGTATGTTAGACACAGACAAGAAAAGATGATACCTAGATATTAAAATATTTTAAATAGCTAGATAATTTAAAACTTTGAGCTTTGTATATCTTAAGGCAGGAGACAGTCGCTTGGTATAGAACCTGTTTAGACACTTGTTTAGACACTGGTTTAGACACTTGTTTAGACACCTGTTTAGACACTTGTTTAGACACTTGTTTAGACACTTGTTTAGACACTTGTTTAGACACTTGTTTAGACACTTGTTTAGACACTTGTTTAGACACTTGTTTAGGCACTTGTTTAGACACTTGTTTAGACACTTGTTTAGACACTTGTTTAGACACTTGTTTAGACACTTGTTTAGACACTTGTTTAGACTTGTTTAGACTTGTTTAGACACTTATTTAGACACTTATTTAGACACTTGTTTAGACACTTGTTTAGACACTTGCTTAGACACCTGTTTAGACACTTGTTTAGACACTTGTTTAGACACTTGTTTAGACACTTGTTTAGACACTTGTTTAGACGCTTGTTTAGACACTTGTTTAAACACTTGTTTAGACGCTTGTTTAGACACTTGTTTAGACACTTGTTTAGACACTTGTTTAGACGCTTGTTTAGACACTTGTTTAGACGCTTGTTTAGACACTTGTTTAGACACTTGTTTAGACACTTGTTTAGACACCTGTTTAGACACTTGTTTAGACACTTGTTTAGACACTTGTTTAGACACTTGTTTAGACACTTGTTTAGACGCTTGTTTAGACACTTGTTTAAACACTTGTTTAGACGCTTGTTTAGACACTTGTTAAGACACTTGTTTAGACACTTGTTTAGACGCTTGTTTAGACACTTGTTTAGACGCTTGTTTAGACACTTGTTTAGACACTTGTTTAGACGCTTGTTTAGACGCTTGTTTAGACACTTGTTTAGACACTTGTTTAGACACTTGTTAAGACATGTTTAGACACTTGTTTAGACACTTGTTTAGACACTTGTTTAGACACTTGTTTAGACGCTTGTTTAGACACTTGTTTAGACACGTGTTTAGACACTTGTTTAGACACTTGTTTAGACGCTTGTTTAGACACTTGTTTAAACACTTGTTTAGACGCTTGTTTAGACACTTGTTTAGACACTTGTTCAGACACTTGTTTAGACACTTGTTTAGACACTTGTTTAGACACTTGTTTAGACACTTGTTTAGACACTTGTTTAGACACTTGTTTAGACTTTTTTAGACACTTATTTAGACACTTATTTAGACACTTGTTTAAACACTTGTTTAGACACTTGTTTAGACACTTGTTTAGACACTTGTTTAGACACTTGTTTAGACACTTGTTTAGACACTTGTTTGGACACTTGTTTGGACACTTGTTTAGACACTTGTTTAGACACTTGTTTAGACACTTGTTTAGACACTTGTTTAGACACTTGTTTAGACACTTGTTTAGACACTTGTTTAGACACTTGTTTATTGACGAATACTGATGTTACTCACGAGCAGTAGTGGTTGCTGCTATTGTGGCAGATCTATTATACTCACGAGCAGTAGTGGTTGCTGCTGTTGTGGCACATCTATTATACTAACGAGCAGTAGTGGTTGCTGCTGTTGTGCCAGATTTATTATACTAACGAGCAGTAGTGGTTGCTGCTGTTGTGGCAGATTTATTATACTAACGAGCAGTAGTGGTTGCTGCTGTTGTGGCACATCTATTATACTAACGAGCAGTAGTGGTTGCTGCTGTTGTGCCAGATTTATTATACTAACGAGCAGTAGTGGTTGCTGCTGTTGTGGCAGATTTATTATACTCACGAGCAGTAGTGGTTGCTGCTGTTGTGGCAGATTTATTATACTCACGAGCAGTAGTGGTTGCTGCTGTTGTGCCAGATTTATTATACTCACGAGCAGTAGTGGTTGCTGCTGTTGTGCCAGATTTATTATACTCACGAGCAGTAGTGGTTGCTGCTGTTGTGCCAGATCTATTATACTCACGAGCAGTAGTGGTTGCTGCTGTTGTGCCAGATCTATTATACTCACGAGCAGTAGTGGTTGCTGCTGTTGTGCCAGATCTATTATACTCACGAGCAGTAGTGGTTGCTACTATTGTGGCAGTAGAACTCCGGGTCTCCGATAAAGCCCGGCATGCACGAGCACGTTCTGTTCATGCAGTTCGAGTTGGGCGCACAGCGTGAGCAGAATTTGTGCCCGTGCTTGTCCATGTAGTCGTGCCCGTTGTCCCATGGCCCCCCACCCCTAGCGGCGTCGCCTGGTTCCATTTCATCTGGTCCCATTGCCTGGGAGAAAAAAATCTGAAACGTTTGCGACATGCACGCTTGTGGCAAGGGTAGGTTGTTGGTATAACTCCTTTTACAAGAAGGGTACAAATGGAGGGGAGTATACGACTGCAAACCCGAAAGACTCGAGTTCTTCTTCTACTTCTCTTCTTCGTTCTTAGTTATTAGTGTTTAAAGGGGTCGAGATTTATCTGCTAGTGGGGGTTGAACTCGAGACTGTTCGAATTTATCAACCATGAGCTTTTTGCCGACTCGACCTCGCCTCCAACACAATTAAGCGTTACGTGTCAACTGGATATGCACCATTGAGGCCATTGACTCCGATTTCAGCCTGCTTTTCTTTTTGGATTTGCTTCCATAGCCTTTGTCCAACCAAGAAAAAACTACAAGGCAGCAGTTGTTTAATTTTGGAGTTGTCTCTCCTAGAAGAGTGGCTGACCCCAGCTAACGAGCCTTATCTGCCCGAGGGTTCGAACTCGAGACTTTTCGGTTTAGCAACCATGAGCTTTACCGACTCGACCACGCCGACCCCTGGCTCGAGTTCGAATCCGGGCTCTATTACGTAACGAGTCCCTGAGTCCACCCAGCCCTGGTGTGTACATAACTCACGTAAGGGAAAGTAAAGGTGGCTGGGTATATTGCTGAAACAGAAACAGGTGAACTCTACTTCACTTGCACAATGGCTAGTCAGGTTCGAAAAGATACTTTACTTTTACTTTTAGGGAAAAAGAGGGCAATCCTTATTGGTACTACCCCCCGTTTTGCTAAACCTTACCGATAGAAAATCACGGAAACACGTTGAAACTATTTTAGAACATGAAGCTTATGTACTGACTACAAAAAGTTGAATCGAACGTGAAATAATTGTGTTTTCTAACCGTTGGGTGTAAAGTTTGGACCGTCTTTCTAACTGCTAAACTGCAGGGGATATAACTATCCCGCTTATAAGTTCTACGGCGCTGACAATAATAATCTACTTCGTTAATAAATACGTTTTTTTAGAGAAATTTTACTCATTAATAACGAGTAGCAGAAATCTATAAACATATTTAAAAAATATTAGGCATATATGTATATATATATATATATATATATATATATATATATATATATATATATATATATATATATATATAAAATTCTCTTCTGGGAGTTTCTAGAAAACAGGCTGTAAGCGCGCTCCCTACCACCCCACCCCTACATGGTCTGGTGAGCTGTGGTTCACGCTAAATGTTTACATTCGTAGAGTCGGGTTTAGTGACGGCTATTAGGGGCAGATAATTTAGTTTGAAACTATTTTGAACTTAGAGGAGGTAACTAAGAGGAGGCTGCTTTCACGGGGGGGGGGGTGTAGGGTAGGGGTTGGGGTAAAGGAGAGTGGGGGTAGGGGTTGGGGGAAAGGAGGGTGGGGGTAGTATCATTCTTAACGACCTACTGATAGTGTTTTAAAGCAAATATTTTCAGTAGCAGCATTGGTACTGTCGAATTTACAAATTATGAATCACTGAAAAGTAGAAAATAAAACAACTAAATAGCGGCATATGATATGCCGCGGGTCGGCTCGCATATATACAATAAAACAACATTACTGTCGCGAATTATTTATTGAAAGCTTCTATCGCCAACAAGGTTTTGAAAAGATATCTAAATTAACTAACGCAGATAAATTAACTGTTGAAGAAAAATATGTTGTGCTGCATTTGACAAATTACAATTAATTATTGCTTTTCTATGTCCATTATCGGGCTGACCTTTAATGGGTGTAACATTGCGTAAAGTAAAAGCGAGCTAATGCAAATGCCAGAAATACATTTGCTGTTATTGTACTCTAATGAATTCAGAGGCGTAGCGAGGGGGGGCGGGGGGACATATGTCCGCGGGCGCCGACCTGAGGGGGGCGCCAAATTGAAAGTTTGAGGGGGGGGGGGGTGCAAATGAAAAGTTCGAGGGGGGTGCAAATCGAAAGTTTGAGGGGGAGGTGCAAATCGAAAGTTTGTCCCCGGGCGCCGGGAAGGGTCGCTACGCCTCTGAATTGATTCGTATGGTTTAAGTATGGATATGCTCAGTTTATTTCTATTTTTTACAATTTAATATCTATACCTTTACTATGGTTGGCACACGAAAGTTATCATTGAACAGCATTAAAAGGGGTTAAAAACAATTTTGATTGTCATGAAAAAAAACGAAAAAACCTCCGCCATTTTAAAAACACTAAATCTTTTTTATGTATGCACTTATAGCAATCAAATTTGAACTGCTTATATTTCATAATATATTAAAGCTTTTGTCACGACAATTTGTTTGAAAGAGCTACTGATAAGAATTATACATGGTCTGAAAAATCGAACCTCTTTGTGTATGCAAAGTTTTCAAAATTTGCATATTAATTAAAATAAATCAACTATTTAAAAAAAAAAACATGTATTATCAAATAAAGAAACTAAATTTAATAATTTAGCTACAATTTAAAAAAAAAATTCTTCCTAAGTAGCCTATTAAATAAAGACAACAAAGTTTAAATTATTAAACACGCTTATACAGTAAAACGAGTACGAAGAACTTTTAAGAACGGAACAAGAAAAACAAAAAGTAAAAACCAAAAACGAAATAAACTAAAATTTACCTGAACTGTGGACAAAGAAATCAACAAGACAATCAGGAGACCTAACTGGCGACCCATCCTAATCTGGAAGTATCAAAGGCAAAGATTGTTTACTTAATGTAAGCAGTATCTGTTTACTGTGAGATCAATAAGGCGACAGTTTTATACAAAGTGTAAACGTGATGTGACGCTGAATTTTTTGACTAATTATACAACATGTTAACTAATTAGGGGGTTAGCGTCGTGAGTCATTTTTTTCTCTTTATCTCATAGCTTCTAAATGATTACTTAAATTTATGTTATATATATATATATATATATATATATATATATATATATATATATATATATATATATATATATATATATATCCCATATATATATATATACTATATAAATATCCCATATATATATATATATATATATATATATATATATATATATATATATATATATATATATATATATATATATATATATACCCCATATATATCCCATATATAGGCCTATCCCATCTATATATATCTCTTATATATAGGACTTTATATCACATATATATATATCCCATTATATATTACATAATTTATTAGGTATAATAAAATTCGGTTTTTTCTTTAGGTAATTCCAAATTAAAATAAAACATAAGTTATGGTAAAAATTAAAACATACGCAATAATACTCTTGTGTTTCACTCACTTAAAATTAAAATTTACGTTTCTTCCTAAGCCCCCACTAAAATATTAAAATAAACCAACTTCATATTTAAGTTTAAACCACTATTTAATTCACATACGTAAAAACACTACCATCTATGCTATATATTATAATAATATAATTAACATACGTAACAATACTTTCATCACTACTATAAATTATAATAATATAATTAGCATTCGTAATAATACTGCCATCTGTACTATAAGTTATAATAAAACTGGTTTATAAAATCTGCAATATATCTGACACAAATAATAAACAAGTCTAGAAATCACTGTAAAAATATATGTACATCTCTCTAATCCGGGCAATAATCCAGCCTCACCCGAATATAAAATTGAATTAAAATGATTTAATAAAAACGTGGAGAGCCATAAAAAACCATCCTGTTCGTATCCCTACTAACGAATACCATACCCACAAATATAAACGAACTTTTAAGCCACAAATTTAAATAAAACAATTCAAGTTTGAGTGAACTTTATTGCATCTTTTTTTTTTATAACACCTCTCAACCGTACCATCACGTATTACATTTCAAATCAAATCGTTACAAAAATCTGAACGAAATGCATGCATAAACACATTAAATATGTTCAGTGTTGGTCGGGGTTTTTTTTTCTCATCGGTGTTCGTATCGTTTATTTCAATGCCAATCAGTGCATCACGTGAGATGACACTTTTATAACCCAAATAAACGTCAAACTTGACTCCACGCCAAACTTTGGCTCAGGACGGTGTATTGATTCTTCAACATAGTGTAGTTGTATGTGGGGGAGGGGTTAATTTAAAGTATATTATGTACTTTAAACTTATTATTCTAGTAGCTAGTTTCATCTGGCGGGTAAGTTTCGAAATAAAATTAAATAAAATATTTCTACTAAAAGGTTTTTTAGATTTTATTTAATTTTTTTTTAATTTTTTTTTTATTTTTGCGCCCAAACTGCCAAAAAAATGTTGTGCTCTGTGAGTGTCGTTTAAAGCGAAAATTTTCCATTAAAAACATTAGTACTAAAATTAATGAAAGCCCTAAAATGTAAACGATAAACCAAACATTGGCTGTTTTTCTACAACTGTTCAATTTTGACTACTGTATAAATTATTCGAGGTTTAACATTTACGTTATTTTCTCTTGTAGCACCCTCATACTTTCAAAAGTTATGATCAATAAAAACATTTTGTTGCAGGGCTATATTAAAAGAAATGTAAAGCCTCTGGAGTTAAACAAATTAAGTTGCTGTTAAGTAAGACACGCAATGAAAAAGTCGAGTATCACTCTCAATTTTACCAGCAGCAAGAATCATTGGTACCCACTAGTCTTTTCCTTCATCTCTCAGTTCACTGCCTGGTTTGATGGTGGGGGAGGGGGGGGGGGGGACTTTGGTCAGAGGGTGACCTATATTCTCATTTATGATTACCAATTTGTGGATTTCGGGCTAGTAGGATACGCCTTTGGTAAAGCCTTCAAATGGGAATGGGTTGGGCACGTCTTGAGACGGAAGAGGATAAAATCTTGAGGAAAGCGTCAGACTGGAATCCCCCGCGGAAGGGAATATTAGCAGGCCAAGGACAGCCTGGAGAAGAACGGTAGTAAAAGCGTCAAAGGCTGTTGGTTTACGTGGGCGCTGAGAAAGAAATCTGCCCCATACGGAGTCCGATTGAGAGTCGTGGTTGAAGCCATTTGCGCCCCAGGGACCACAATGGTAAAAGGAAGACTTGGTATCAATGTAACCATAATTAAACGAAATTTTATATTTTTTTAATTGCTTTAATTTGCATTTTCGCCGTTGTCCTATTTAGTGACTAAAGTCAAAGCTAGATAACTTTTTTCTACACCGCTATGCAAAAAAATAAAATCTACAGAAAAAAAAACATCATTAACATAATTACTCTTTTAATTCGATCAATCAATCGATTTTAAATCTGAGTGAAAGCTGATACTTTATTACCTCATGGCATGTTTATAGCCCCCGTGTTGCAGACAAGCTGCAGTGGTACATTCGACCCAAGCAATCAATCATCATGCCGTCAAGTGGGCTAGAATGACGAGACCTTACAAGGAATGTAGAACCCAGACGCTGTTTTTCACAGACTTGTTTTATGTAAGTACAGAATTGGTCTGATTCGCGGGTCTTTGCTGACATTTTAAGTGTTGGGTGTTTTTTGTCAAGATACCAATTTATACCTAGATACGTAGTTTGCGTTTATTTTATGCGTTGCCCACATGATTAGATACGTATTTGTATTGTTATCATTTGTGTTGAAAGCCGCGTTCACGATGTTTCATTTGAGCAACGTTAGGCCTTGTTACATAAACATAAATTTATTCATACCATCTACATACAGTGGTTTTTTTATTTACTGTAAGTAAAGTATTTTTATAACAAATGCCTATTTATGTTAAAAGCCGCCTACACTATTTTCGAGTTGAGCAACGTTATGCCTTGTTAGATGAATATAAATCTATTCATACCATCTCTATAATATGATGGTTTTTGTATTTACTGTAAGTAAAGTATTTTTATAACAAATGCCTATATGAAAATAATACGACTCGGAGTGTAGTATTTGACATAAAAAAAAACTTTATTGCTGAATTTCATAATCTTTTCTACCACAAACTTAGAAAACATTTGTTTGAAATAGTGAGAAGTGTTTTAAATGTTTTCCTTTTGAACCCTGTGGTTTATGTGGTAGATATGCGAACTCCGCATCAGAATGAATAGTGTGGTCAGCACTATGCATAATGCATTGCCGCTTTTACTTTCGAATCCAGGTTCAAGTCAGGAGAATGTCCCTGAGTCCACCCAGCTCATGTTAGAGAAACAAAAGCGGCAGGGCATAATGCTGACCACACTACCCTATCATATGCCGAGCAGAGTTTCTTCCAGGCATATCTTCGGGGCTGCCCCCCCCCCCCCCCCCCCCCTCCCTCCCGAAGAATGTCTACCGCCCCCCTCGAACGAAATGGAATTTATATCGAAAAAAATACATTTGACAGTGTCCGCCCCCCCCCCCTCCCGAAGAAAGTCTACCGCCCCTTCGAACGAAATGGAATTTATATAGAAAATATATACTTTTGACAGTGTCCGCCTTCCCCCCCCCCCCCCCCCCCCCCAGAAAATTTCAAATGCACCCCCGGAGAAAAAATTCTGGATGAGACACTGATGCCGAGGTCTCTCAAGATGATGAACGCTGATTCATCTGCCTCAAATGTCCTGGGCAATAAAGGGGAAAAGATGATGAGATTGTATGCAGAATAGAGGCGGCCCTAGGTTCTGTATTTTGGTACCTTAAATCCTAACCCACAAAGTTGCGTGAGTGAAGCTGGAAAAAAATTGGCGAGGCTTAACTTTTTGCGCGTGCACTATTTGCATCAGTGGCGGGGCTTATCTGGAAAATTTCTGCTTTTGTGTACAATAATGTAATATCATTAACATCATTAGTACCTGTCAAACCCACTGCAAGACCATGCCAGCGTTAACTTTTTTTGTTCTATACTCCGATATACAACCCTAAAACAGCAATAAAATAAAATGCAACTCTTTTTTTATTGAAATGCATGAGTTATTCGAAAAAGAATTTGATTTATTTTTTAAATAGTTAAACTCGAATATAAACAAAAGAATTGTTTACATAACGCAAACCTTGTTTGAACTCTAATTACATTGACATGTTTATTAAATATTAATTTACAGTTAATTTACATTTCTCGTTTTTTTTTCTTTGTTCGCGATATCAACATAATAATATAATACTGTAAAACATTGCAAATTCATTGGCCTAGATTTTATGTTGTATACGTACTTGTATGTTTGAAATGGGAAATTTTGGGTTTATTCATAGTATACTTGTTTCACGATTGCATATTTAAGCGTTGAACTGTTAAAGCAATTTGTAATTTTGAATACGTTTTCGTTTAAAATGTATTATTTCAATTTCATTGCGTGCAAAACACTGTTGTTTAAAGAATGGTTAAATTTAAATGAAAGTTTAAAAATGCGAGACACTGGAAATTTCTAATCTATGTCTCAAACAATTAAGGAAAAAGTAGCAGTCAAACAAGGTGTATGTATGAATATTTTTTAATGTGGTGTTCGGCTGTTCCTATATTTGTTTTTTTTTTTATTTTTGTTGTATTTGTTTTTTAGTGCCGAACTATGACAACCTTCCATTGTTTCAAATGTGGTGTTTAGTTGTTACTAAGTTGTTGTTGCGTTTTTTTTTTGTTTTTTTTTTTGTTGTATTTGTTTGTTTGTTTTTTTCGACAAAAATATGATTTATAATTCAATTTTTATATGTGATATTTAAATTTTAATACGTTTATGTTTTTATTTTTTCATCCGAAATACGAATACGTTTGATTGTTTAAAATATGTTGTTTTGATGTTCGGATGTTCCTATGTTTATTTGTTGTAGTTGTTTTTGTTTTGTTTTTTTCCGGCCGAAATATGACTACGTATGATTGTTTTATTTGTGCTGTTTTGATGTTTTCATTTACTTTTTTTTCAGCCGAAGTTTGAGAGTATTTGATTGTTTCAAATGTGTTATTTGGATGTTCCTATGTTTATTTGCTGTTTATTTTGTTTTGTATTGTTTTTCCGGCCAAAATATGACTACGTATGATTGTTTAACATGTGTTGTTTTGATCTTTCTTAATTTCCGGTGTTGTTGTTTTTTTATTTAAATTTTTTTTTCAGTCGAAGTTTGAATGCATTTGTTTTAAATGTGTTATTTGGGTGTTCCTTATTTTTGTTTTGTTTTATATGATTGTTTAATATGTAGGCCTACTGTTTTAATGTTCCTATTTTTCAGGTGTTTGCTATTCTTAAAAATTGCAACCAAAGTTGATGTAGTACCCTAAAGGTGGGATCTCCTCAACCAAATGCAGGCACCTGCTTGTGATGGCATCAAGCGTGTTGTTGCACGCCTGTTGGTCCCCCTCACAGAAGAACTTCGCAGCGTCCAGGAAGAGATTGACCACGCTATCCTGATGCGGAGACTCGGAGATACAATTCACAAACCGCGCAGCCTTCAGCATAAACCCGGCATACGCGAACAAAGCGTTGCGTCTGAAGGTCGAGCACCCCCTTAGAACATCCCGCAGGTGTCCGAGGTTTCCCGGGGCGTCGGGGAAGTCGAGTAGGTCTCCGTTGGTCAGTCCTTGGAAGGTGGCGGCGTCTTCTGTGTTGACGATGCCAGTGTTGAAGACCAAAGCGGAGAGAGTTTGCTGGAAGTCTAGACAAAGGGACTGCTCGTCCTGGGTGCTGTTGACGAAATCCGTCTCCATTTTCTTGTACAGCACTATCCAGACGCCTGGGGTAGAGGGGAGTAGAGAGTAAAAAACAGTCTAACCTACATTTTATAGAGGAAATTATTAGCATCTGATCTGATTGGGTAGAAATTACCCCCCTCTCCCGCCTTTATCCGCCCCATAGATTCAAGTAACGCCACCCCCCACCCCGGTATCTTTCCTCATTGCTATTCCTATCCCTATTCTTATTCATATTTCAATCCCTATTCATATTAATATTCATATCAATGTTCCTAGTTATTCCTATTTGTATCCATTTTTCTAGCCCTATTCCTATTCCCACTCCCATTCCCACGCCTATCCCTATCCCCTACCCCTACATCTACCTCTACCTCTACCGCTACACTTAACGCTATTCCTATCTCTATCCCTATCCCAACTCTAAACCTATCTCTAACTTATTATTAACCTATATCCAGTCTTATCTGCATCTGCAGATGATTTATATGTTATCGACAGGGGTGTAGTGGTAGTGTTCGTTCGCATTTACTTAGGCTAATAATTAGGACGAGCCGACCAGCGGCACATCATACGCCGCTATTTAGTTGTTTTATTTTCTACTCTTCAGACATTCATAATGTGTGAATTCGACAGTACCAGTGCTACCACTGAAAATATTTGCTTTAAAACACTATCAGTAGGTCGTTAAGGACGATACTACCCCCACCCTCCTTTCCCCCAACACCTACCCTACACCCCCCCCCCCGGGAAAGCAGCCCCCTCTTCAGTAGCGTACGCAGGGGGGAGCAGGGGGAGCGGCCGCTCCCCCTCTGGCCATTTTCAGCAAAGTGGCGCCTTTTTGGAAACGTTTTAAACTCAAAGTTTTAAAGAATGATATTTGTTAAAAATATTTTTGGTCGGCACATCTGTGTAAATCACAAGATTTCTTTTCATGCAGCAATTAAGCTTTATTGTACTAGTCTAGTAGTGTCTACGTTTACAACACGTATTAACAGCTGCATTAGTTTGCCATTAAGTAGTATTATTCTGACAGTTTGGGCGATTACAAATTATATGAAACGGTTACAACCCATCTCCCCATGGACCTCTCTGTAAAAAAAATATTGTCATAATACCACTTCTACTTATTTAAATCTATTTGTGTAATATATATTTGTGTTATATATATGTATGTTTAGAACAGTCATCTAAAAATTGTCGCTAAGTTCACTCTGAGTTGGTTATTCCCCTCCCCCACCTCACCACAATTGTGTAGAGCGACATTAATGTCACACCAAGGTATAAACTGGGTTGGATAATTGACCTAAAGTGAACGGACAGTGGTGAATGAAGTTGAACCCCCCCCCCCCCCCCCCCAACCAACCCTGAACTGATCTGTTAAGTACATGTAGAAAAACGCGAATGATGTACCTAAGTACCATGCCGCCAGAAAATTAGCTTTTTAAACGTAAAACTCTGTGAATATTGTTTTTGCAATTGCCAGTAAAAAGGTGTGTGATCAATACAGTGATCTAACCCATACCTATCACTATGTTAAAAAATGATCTTTAAAGAACCCAAAGAAGCAGTAGTTAATTAAAATATCTGAACTAAAGACCAATATTTAGTTAAATGTAGACTGTTACTCCGAATGTTTTTCTATATTATCGAAAAGCGTGGTTTTATACCAACTCTGATTTAAAAAACTTTCATTATGCTGTAATATTTTAGCATTTATGATAAAGATATATTAAATTCTGATTATAGACGAAAACATTTTTTAAACTCGAATAGTGTTTAACAATTTCATTATATTCTAAATTAATTATTTATTTGTTTTGACATTTATAATTAAATGTGTAGATATATACATATTTATATTAAGAGAGTGATTATTTCCCCTATTTCACTTGTTTTAAATAATTTGCCAGGAATTATTATGTTAGAAATTTTTTACAAGAATTACAAAACAGATTGTGTTACGTTCATTGTTTTTGGTTGTAGTATATATATATATATATATATATATATATATATATATATATATATATATATATATATATATATATATATATATATATATATATATATATATATATATATATATATATATATATATATATATATATATATATATATATATATATATATGTATATATATATATATATTGTTTAGATGGATACAAATTTTGTTTTGTCGGCCTACATTGTTTTTTCTTATTTCTTCAGAGTGCTACTTTCAATTTATTTTACATCATAGCGAAGTAATGACAAACAGCTAGTAATTATATATATATATATATATATATATATATATATATATATATATATATATATATATATATATATATATATATATATATATATATATATATATATATATACACGTATATAGAACGTGTTAAAAATTCGGCGCCTTTTTTGTCACTTTTCGCTCCCCCTACAACGAAAACCTGGATACGCCTCTGCCCCTCTTAGTTACCTCCCCAAAGTTTAAAATCGTTTCAAACTAAATTATCTGCCGTCACTAAACCCGGCTTACATCCGCTCTAATTAAAACAGTAGTATCTCTACGAGTAACATGGGAAATTTATAAAATTGATGAAATATGAAACAAAATGTAATATCCTTCTTAACTTAAATCGTGATTTACTTGTAGTGCTAAGCAGAGGCGTAGCGATGGGGAGAGGGGGGGCGGACCGCACCGGGTGACACCATTTAGGGGGGTGACACCAAGGCAAAAAATAGTAAAATATATAGAGAAATATTTAAGGGAGGGGGGTGCAAATCGAAAGTTTGAGGGAGGGGGGTGCAAATCGAAAACTGAAAGTTTGTCCCCGGGAAGAGTCGCTACGCCTCTGAGGGGGTGACATCATTAAGTGCCGCACCGGGTGACACCCGACCTCGCTACGCCACTGGTGCTAAGCACCTTGCTGAGGTCTCAGCAACAGCTCAACTCTACTTCATCGAAGAGCTAACTTTATTTTTTTTTAGTATTAAAGCAAGTTCTAAATTAGGATTAACTGTAAGATTAAAGTATGAGATTAAAGTATAAAATTAAAGTATAAGATTAAAGTATAAGATCAAAGTATAAGATAAAAGTTTAAGATTAAAGTATAAGATTAAAGTATAAAATAAAAGTATAAGATTAAATTTAAGATTAAGTTTAAGATTAAGTATAAGATTGTGTATAAGATTAAAGTATAAGATTAAGTGTAAGATTAAGTGTAAGATTAAGTATAAGTTAAAGTATCGGTGTAAGATTTTCAGGATAACAACATACCCGGGATGCTGGAATTATCCAGCGGGTTCAAAGGTCGGAAGCCGACCTGAACACCTGCAGCACAGTCCAGCTCGAGCCTCAGGAAACCAGCGTTGATGACCTTGAAGTAGGCGCCACACCGCGGCCAGAACAATGCCAGGTAGCGGGACTGCAAGAATTAATTTTTTTTTTTTTGTTGTTGTGGGTTTTAGTCTGAGTAGTATTAAATACGAGCTGACTTGCGACGTAGCATACGCCGCTATCTAGTTGTTTTATTATCTACTTATCAACAATTCCTAATTTGTGAATTCGACACTATCCCACCCCCTGCCTCGCCCACACCCCACCCCGCCCAGTGAAAGCAGCAGTTTACAGACGACAATGAAAATATCAAGCAGAAGTTATTATCTCCCCGTAGTTTCAAATCGTTTAAAAACTAAATCATCTGCCCCTAATTACCGTTACTACCGGCTCTACTATTGTAAACATTCGGGGTGAATCACAGCTCACCTGACAGGTGGGGGTTGTCAGGTAGAAAAAAATACGAAGTTACGCTAAAATGTAAAAGTTGTAATATTAGGTACATTATAGTTTAGTACGAGTAATATTGTGTAACATGTCTTGTTTAATTTTAACTATTGGGCTTATACCCCCATACACCCCCCGTCCCGAGAGTGAGTCGAGTTCTGCGGACGCCTAACGATGACGCTTACCCGGATATTACTACTGCTCCTCAGTGAATGAACGTACACAAACTTCCCGTCATCTTCCTCGCTCGACTGATAAATGTCCCATCTGTAGGTCTGGTAAACTGGTGATACAAAAGTCATGATTGAAGTCAACACAAAATACAGAAATTATGACTTAAGTATACTAAAAACACAAAAATCATGACTGGGGTATACTAAAACACAAAAGTCATGACTAAAGTTAACACAAAATACAGAAGTCATGATTGAAGTATACTAAAAACACAAAAATCATGAATGGAGAATACTAAAAACACAAAAGTCAACTCAAAACACGTAAACGTCAAGACAGGAGAAATCAAATTAACTGTACAATGGCATTTAGCAGAGGCGTTTATAAAAATTGTCCGGGCACCTTACTAAAAAATGAACTCCATGATATTGTAATTAAAGTAGTGCTTTAAATTACCTCAATTATTTTCGTTTCATTGTCTGATCTTTAGAATATGTCACTGTGTTAAAAGTCATGTAAGTGGTAGAAGAGAGAGTGTGTGTGTGTGTGGGGGGGGGGTGGATCCACAAACGTACCAGATTACGAACGCCTCACGGAAGTGAGATATTTTAAACTGGTCCCGACTGCTATTACATAATATACAGCAGACCTAAATGGCGACGCTAAGTGAGCTGGGCTCGTACTTGGGTCCAGCCAGAGGCGTCACGGGGCGGGGGGTGCTGACCGCACCGGGAAGACACCATGAGGTGCCGCACCGGGAAACATCAATTGGGGGATCGACACCATGAGGTGCCACGCCAGGTGACACCAATGGGGGGGTGACACCATGAGGTGCCACGCCGGGTGACACCAATGGGGGGGGGGGGGTGACACCATGAGGTGCCGCACCGGGTGACACCAATGGGGGTCCAGCTGTTTATATAGTAGAACACAGGGAAGTGAATTAGGATCATACAGTTAGTCCATCTACTGTGAGTACTATGAGACTAGGTATTGATATAGTTGAACTCGTCACACGCCTATATAGCTAAACTAAACACAGCACATCAACTCGATATTAAATAGGGAAATGAGATAAAACACAAAGTAAGCCACGCCAGTGTAAGTACAATGAGACTGGATATTAACAAGTGTTTCTTTCAGGCATTTCTTCTGGGGTTCTGACCCCACAAAGAACATCTAACGTCATCCCCCCTCCCCCAACTAAATAGAATCTATATAGAAAATTTTCGGGAGGGGCAGATTAAAATTTCATGGGGACGGACACTGTTAAAAGTATATATTTTCTTTATAAATTCTATTTCGTTCGGGAGCGGAAGACTTTCTTGGGGGGAAAGAGATGCCTGGAAGAAACTCAGCACATCACGTCAACATAATATGAAACAGAAAAGTGAGCTAGGATCACACAATGAGCCCAGTCATTATGAACTGCATTCTCTAAATGCCATAGAGGCATAGACCCACTGGAAAAGGAGCTAAGACTCTCTTATGAGCCTAGCTGTTACAATAATAATACACAGCACATTAAAACGCCACTAAACTCACGAGTATCGTAATATCCCACCATACGCCCTTGTCTCACAAACGTTTTGGAGTCAATGGTCCGAATGACCTGAAACTGTTAAAAAAAAACAAGAATTGAAAAATCAACATGACAAAAATCTTTGCAATTTAAAACAAAAATGCCTTTATAGTCTAGCGTAGAGTCCACACGGGTTAATCCGAAAGTCGTGAGTTCATTACCAGGGATTAACTAGTACGGCCCCGGCCAAACTCTCAACAATAGGGCTGGTAAGTAGGTCACCAACCAGTTCTATGGTTCAAGCAGGTTTTATGGAGCCGTAGAACTGGTTGGTGACCTACTTACCAGCCCTATTACCGATACACTAGCTGTTTGCTGACTTAAGAAAGATCAGAAAGAGAAACGGAGAGAGAAAGAGAATTATTTTTTCCAGAAAATTGTAGACTGCTGCGATAGTAATTATATATGTTGTGTAGCTTATTTACTACAAGCAGGCCTATTAAATAGATCTATTAATTTGAACTAACAATTATACCTACCTAATAAACCTACGAAATATATCCATTAATATTATTTGAACTACCAAATAGACCTACAAAATAGATTTATCAATTGGAACCAACAAATAGACCTACGAAATAGATTTATCAAATAGACTAAAAAGTAGACAATACAAATAGATCAAAGTATAGATTAAACAAACAGAACACTCTAATAGACTAACAAACAAAATCTTCGGGGCGGGGGGCGGACCGCACCGGGTGACACCATTTAGGGGGGGTAACACCAAGGCAAAAAATAGCTAAAGATATAGAGAAAAACTTAAGAGGGGGGGGGGTGCAAATCGAAAGTTTGAGGGCGGGGGTGCAAATCGAAAACTTGAGGGAGGGGGGGTGCAAATCGAAAGTTTGAGGGGGGGGTGCAAATCGAAAATTCGAAAGATTGTCCCCGGAAAGGGTCGCTACGCCTCTGGGGGGTGACACCATTAAGTGCCGCACCGGGTGACACCCGACCTCGCTACGCCACTGCTTCCAAGTAGATCTACCAATCAAACCTACCAAACAGATAAAAAAATAAGACAAAAAACATACCTGCCATAAAGACCTATCAAACAAACCTTCCAAATAACTCAATAGACTTAAAAAACAAACCAACTAAACAGATTAACCAAATAGACGCACTAATTAGACCAACTATATGAACCAATCAAAGCTACAAATAAAATACCCACCTGCACGGCGCTGACGAAATTCTTGCCCCTCCACCTCTGCGAGATTACCCATACGGTCAGCTGACTGGGGCCAGACCTCCGCCTGACCACGACATCGGTCAACTTGGCTGACCCTACTATATGGACCCGTGTCCACTCTTTGGACAGCGTGTGCAGGCCAGGATCGTTTACAAGGCTGTGGGAATAGTGTCATTGAATTCAGAGGTGTATCGACCCATACCGGCGCCCGAGGCAAATTATCAATTATATATATATACATATATATGTATGTATGTATGTGTGTGTGTGTGTGCGTGTGTGTGTGTGTGTGTGTGTGTGTGTGTGTGTGTGTGTGTGTGTGTGTGTGTGTGTGTGTGTGTGTTCATTTTGGTGAAAAAGCTCCCCCTCTTGTTGGAAAGATTGATGGCGTTTGTTACCAGTCACTATCCCGTAAAGGTTTTGATTGTGATACCACGCAATTGATGTAGACATCAATTAAATCAGTATATAAATCCGTGTAGCTTTTTACTTTCTTAACTTTGACTGTGTATAATTAAATAAACAGGTTTTTATTTTTTTTTCAACCCCTTTAGGCGTCCCCTTAGGTTTGGCGCCCGGGGCCGCCACGCCACCCACCCTTCCCTAGCTACGCCACTGCCGTAGATATTATTTTTGTACAAGTTTTAAACCACTCGACAAGGCACTTGCATGGTCGTCCATACATTACCTCACGCTGTACAAGTCAACTTTACCTCTCAAACATGTAATCGTCAGACGTCACAAAAACAAAATCATACCCATATTCAGAGTTTCTTCCAGGCATCTCTTTGGGGGGCTAAGCCCCCCCCCCCCCCCCCCCCCGAAAAAATTCTACCGCCCCCCCCCCCCTCCCCCGAAGAAAATGAAATTTGTATAATTTATATAGAAAATATATACTTTTAACAGTGTCCGCCCCCCCCCCCCCCGAAGAAAGTCTACCGCCCCCCCCCCCCCCCCGAAAATTTCAAGTGCCCCCCCCCCGGAGAAAAAAGTCTGGAAGAAACACTACCCATATTAACGTATGTAATCTATAACCCATCCACCCCTTCTCCCACACCCTACAACAATACAAACTATATTTCTAATTCAGCATTGATTCTTGTCAATTTTATCCAATAAAAAAAATACAAGCAAATGCAACGTCATATATTTTGAAACATTTTCCAACATATTATATCCTACACATTAACAGCCCACACCCCCCCCCTCCGTCCATTTTTTTGATCGACATTATTCGATTATTATATGTCGATCAAATACATAGCCACCGTTAAACTTGAAGTTTGAAAAGTTGGCTACAGTTAATTATGTTATGTTCAAGCAAAAAAAAAATGTTGTTAGGAGTAGGTTAAATTATTGCGATGAATTAAAACAACTTACAACCTGCATAAGAAGAGCACATAAAAGGACACTTGAATGGAAGTTAGTGTTGAACATAAAACAACTTCAAAAACTAATTAATTACAACTGCTGAAAATCTTATAACTAATCCTGATTTACAGCTTGCTCGAACCTGGCGGTTCATTAGGGAGATGAAGTAGAGTTCGCCTGTTTAATGTGACCTCAGCTATGGAAGTAATAATGAGGCTAGCACTGTGCCCAGCTGCCTTTCCTTTCCCCAAATTAAGTCAGGTACTATTCAGAGCTGAGTGGACTCGGGGAAATGCTTCGTCAACAAGTTCCTATTCTGCTTTCGAGACTTTCGAATTAGTAGCCGTACGCTCAACCACACAACCACATCGTCCTTCAACTTGAAACCTAAATCTTATTTAAGGTCAAAGTTCAGCAGAATCATGTTACCTGCAGTAACCCTGACGTGGCCGGTAACAGATGAAGTAAGGGTTACCGATATGGCTGGCCTTGCACCTGCATTCTCCGTTAACACAGACGGAATTTCTGACGCACGCGCGACAGTCGGGTGTGAGCTCCATCAATCTTTGGTTCCTATCTTCTGCGGCCTCGTCTTCGGCCTACAAGTACAAGAATAGCCTGCACATTACCGCCAAAAGTAGATCACTGGACTCTTTTCAAACTAAGTGCTTGCGAAGGTTAAAAGGCATACACTGGCCTAAAGGGTCGTCCATAAATGACGTCACACTCGTAGGGGGGAGGGGGGCATCGTAATTTTGTGATGGTGTGTGATGAGGGGGGGGGGGGGGTTCAGAAATGTGAAGTCACTTTTTTGCATTATAAAAAAGCAATGTTAGAAAACGAGTTTTAGGTGTTATTTCGCGTTTTAGAAAACGGTTTTCATAAATTGTAATAGGAATTGATCAAAATACTCTTTGTTGTCAGTTCTGACAAGATTTTGGGAAAATATCGATGTTTTAAGAAAAATTCAACAGCAATGTTAAAGGGCGTTGTAGGCTGAGGTGTGACGTCATTTTAGGGGATAGGTGTCTGACGTGTGACGGAGGGAGGAGGGGGGGGGGTAAAAATTGTCAAAAAAGCGTGACGTCATTTATGGATGAACCCCAAACACCATTTCCTATGATATATTACTTGGAGAGATGAAAATGAAGGCAGTTTCCGAATTAATCGAAAAAAAGATGAGCGATAGATGGGGCACGTCCTAAGAATGCATCTAGTTGACTTCGCTGGAATGACGCTAAATGGATGCCTCAAGGAAAACGAAAGCAAGGAATGCCAAGGGGGATGTGGAGGCGCACAGCGGGGAAGCAGCTGGCAGAGGCAGGACTGTCATGAGGACTACCAGGAAAATTGCCGGTGACTAACAAAAGTGGAGGGAGCTTTCTGTGGTGGCCCCATGTGTCTTTGGCACAAAAAAGAAAAGGTGATGATGAACCTATCCACGTGGTGAATGAATAAACTTTTAAGCTTTACCTTCTTACGTATCGATGTATGAATAAAGTTTTAATTTTTACCTTCTTACGTGTAGGTCTATAATTAAAGTTTTAATTTTTTTCTTCTTACGTGTAGGTGTATGAATAAAGTTTTAAGGTTTTTTTTTAATTGCATCAAGTTTTCAGTTTAAGTTTTAACTATTTTATTTTTTTTAAGTTTTAATGCCCCGAAATTCCTCAAAATTAAGTGTTTTTAACGGACAAAAATTTTGAAAATTCATAATGAATTAGTTTGAAAATATGCATTAAGGTGCATTAGTTACTTCCCATAGAGTAAATTTAAGATTTCAAGTGGAAATAACCTAAAACTTTGGTTTCTAAAATGATTGCAAGATCTACAGTCATAACCCAATTTTTTTTATTAGCTCTGTTTTATTTTATAGCTAAAAAAAATTATACCTTAGTATAAACTATTGTTTATTTTTTTATTTTGTTTTATATTTAACATTTCTTTATGAATATGGTTAAAATAGAAAGCTTTTAAAAACAGTTAATCATTTATGGTATTTAAGTCTTCTTCGTTCTTAATCTTTGGTGTTGGGAGTGATCAAGCCTCTTCTGCCAGAGGGCGGAGACTTTTTTCGAATTTATCAACCCATGAGCTTTTCTAACTCGACCATGCTTCCATCACAATTAAGGATTACGCGTCAACTGGTTATGCGCCATTGAGGCCATTGACTCCGATTTCAGCCTGCTTCTTTTTGGATTTGCTTCCATAGCCTTTGTCCAACCAAGAACAAACTACAAGGCAGCAGTTGTTTGATTTTGGGTCTCTCCTAGATGAGTGCCTGTCCCCAGCTAACGAGACTCATCTGCCTGAGGGTTCGAACTCGAGACTTTTCGGTTTAGCAACCATGAGCTAAAAATTTGCTAAAAACTAAACAAAAAATTACTGCAAAACTGTTTTTCAAAAAAAAAAAAAAAAAAAAAAAACTGCGACCCCTCAACCCACTCCCCCCCCCCCCCAACCCACACATCATCCCACGGTCGCACCACTGCTCGCCAAACGTCAACATTTCCCTCACAAATGAGGATGTGTCAACAGTGAACTAAGCTGTCGGGAGTAACAGAGTTGCATCCCTTAATCATTATTTTAAAATCTAGCTGTTATTCCAGTTTACTTTTATCATTTAAGTTAAGTTTTATATAGATCTATACACCGTGTGACAGTTTTTTTTTTATTCTGTATAAAAGTACAAAATAAATTATTAATTTTTTTTTACATAAATTGTAACATTGTAATATTTATTCCCAAACTAAAGCAACGATTCTACTTACAAAAAATGTAATATTTATTCAAGAACCAAAGCAACGCTTCTACTTACATAAAATGTAATATTTATTCACAAACTAAATCAAAAGTTTCACTTACATAAAACGGCGTACGAGACTACTATAGGAGAAATACAAAGTCAAGCAACACATTTTTGTTCAAACTTACTTGTCCACTTGTTGTGTATAATCCAAAAATCCAAAGTACCAAAAACAGTGCGACATGCAGAAAGTTTGCCATTTTTTTCAGTGACTAGGAAATTCTAAACAAAATTTAGGGTAACATTTTTATACACAAACATATATATATATATATATATAGCCTATATATATATATATATATATATATATATATATATATATGTTACGGTCAAAGCCCGAAGTCGGCCAATGCTAGGATTGGCCGGCCAATCCGCGCATTGGCCAATATCGCCTCCCATAGGTCGGTCAAAGTCCGAAACTTTGCTTCATTTCGGCCTTTGGCCGGCCAATCCGCAGACTGGCCATTGTGGACCGGCCAAAGTCTGAAATAGCTCTTGATTTCGGCCTTTGGCCGGCCAGTCCCGGCCAGTCCGCGGACTGGCCATGGTGGACCGGCCAAAGTCTTAATTAGAAGATCATGAGCAGATTTTGGTTTTTTTATGCCGGTAGGATCATGAAATTAAGTCTTTATTGATTATTAATTAAAGTAAATGACAGAAACATTCAAATTTTTTATTGTACTATAGTCTCAATCAATCAATATTATTATTTGTTACAACAAGTTGAACTTTTATGGCATTTAGAATTACATAGCAGCTTGTTATTTTTACACTTGCAGCGATTTGTTGTACACTTGGTGTTGCAATTGCAGCGAGTGTAGCCTTGGCCCCCAGTCAATGATTGTGAAGATGCGATGAAGATGCGATGGTTCGCAGTGATTTTTCCTCAGTGCCAACTGACGACAATAAGAGCAGTTTTTCGTGAAGAATTGAAAACTCACTTCTAGCATACAGTTGTTTTAGAACACAATGTCCGTTCCTAATTTGTAGAAACCGCCCTCGACGCTCATGACAACTGCAATCACGCTTCGGGGATCACCGCGACCTCTGTCAACATCTGGAACACGGATGCCTACATTTTCACCCACTTCACCATCTTTAAATTTTGTATTTGATGTTTTAAGCATCTTAGCACCTTGATTTTGCAAGCCAGTATGAGCTACTGACCTGTGTTCCATGATGTCTTGTTTGTTGTGACACAATCTGCAGGTAATGTTCCCTCCGTACCCTTCGTCTGCTTCATTGGGTATTCCACAAATAGCATGCACATCGTTGCCATAGGATCCACAAGAATGAGCTGCACTACAATGTTTTTCACAAACTATACAGAATCTATTGGCCACATTATTGTCACGCAACTGGTCTGGACGTTCCGCCACGGCAGCAGATGTGTTAGCTGAGGATGTCGTTGCATTTATGGTAACCTCCATTTCTTGTTCAATGTTCTCAAGATCTTCCTCAGTAACTATTTTATTGAGAGCCTCTCTTGGTAGATTTGAAGTGCTAAGTCCCACTTTTGCTTTGCATCCAAACAAGGCTTCGTATGGTGATTGTTGGATTCATTGATGAAAAGAACGATTTTTCATAAATTAAATGAATTTGAGACTCTCAGCCCAATGAGCTGATTCATTTGTTTGCATCCATGTCATCATCATGTTTTAAAAATCTAGGAACGCGGAAAAGTCTTTTGAACGTTCCGTCTTGTTGCACGTGGTCGGTGACGCCGACTGTCTTTGATTTTGTTCTTTGATGATTGTCTCACCTCGTCATCATGGAGGAGGCTGTCACATACAGCTGTAGCCCATATATGGAAGCTAACATGAATTTACATTTTTTTCTTTTGACAGCCATTTGCTATGTCTGTCTCATGGTCTGACGGCCTTTTTGATCCATGTCACCTTGCATATAGAATGCTATACAAACAAGAGCTAAACAATACGTTACTCACAATGAAACCGCACCCAGAATAATTAAAACGCGATCACAACTTAGTCTAGATACAACATTGGCCAGGACATCCCGGCCAATGCGCACATTGGCCGGCCAATGTACAAAATACGGTGTCAAGTTTAAGTACTTCGGACTTTGGCCAGTACGTCCCGGCCAGTGCGCGCATTGGCCGGCCAATGTACGAAATACGATCTTAGTTGTAAGTTCTTCGGGCTTTGGCCAAGAGAGCCGGCCAATCCGCGCATTGGCCGGCCAATCCGGGGTTTGGCCGCACTTCGGGCTTTGACCGTAACATATATATATATATATATATATATATATATATATATATATATATATATATATATATATATTATATATATATATATAAGCATTATTCGTATTATGCAATGTTTCAATAAAACATTTTTCTTTTATATATTTATTCTCTCTTTCACTGATTGAAATATTAGGTTTCTACTGCGTTTGATTGTTTAATATAATTAAGTAGATTTATTAATTATTTTTTTTTGTATTTTAAACATTTATATATATTACAGATAAACCATCGTTTTTTTTTGTTTTTTTTTGTGGTGAGTTTTCTCATTAAGAAATGAAGGCTACATAAGCGATGAAGAGCCTAAACTACAAAACAAGTATTGTCGAAAGTACGAATTTTTTCGTTACAACACAATTATTCTCCAACCTACGAATGCTGTCTATACTACACAAATGTTGTCCAGCCTATGAATTTTTTCATTACAACACAATTATTATTTACCCCTACGAATTCTAGATTTACAATACAAATAATTGTCGAAGCTGTTCGTACCGTTACTGCTCGCAAATATTATAACAACACATATTTCTGTTCTGCAGACAAAGCTTATAAATTACTCTATATTTTAGGCTAGTTGACTTGCCTAGTTTGAGCCACTATGTTAAACATCAAATAACATGTCTTCTTAATGCGTGTGCGAGTTAATGATAAAAACGTTCCAACTTTAACCTTACGTTATTTATTAAACATATTTCGATTCAGATATATGTTTGCAGAAACAGCATTACACAATTACATACGCCCATTAATCAATAAATTGCATATAATGCAATAAAGAAGCTTAATTAAGAATCAAATTTATTTATTTTTAGTAAAAGAAAAGAATGCATTGCTTATAGAAATTCCTCAATAAATACCATAACAACAACTATTTATTACAGATATTTATTTTTAGAAAATGTAAGTAAAAATTACGTAATTCAATACTTATATTATCACAATAAACAGCCTACATAAAGTAACGTAAACAAAAAGATGTGCGTTCTCGGTCAAATTTTTGTTTACGAAGCATGCAAACAATATTGTTACATTAAATCCTTATTTACTTTTCTGTATTATATATTCTAAATAACTTAAATAAAAAATTAAAAAAAAAAGTATTACCAAAATCTAACCAGACAAAACTTCGGGCCTTGTGTGTATTGTAATCAGTATCCACCTATCGTATCGATACTGAGGCGCTGAGCAACAAAGCATCCACGTTCACGGATCACACCCCCCCCCCCCCCGACGTCCCTAGCCTCACACATCAGCGCTATTGACCGACCACCACACACCAGCCCCCGACAGGATTACAAAAATCACACCAGTCATTATAACTCGTACCAACTGATCTATTTTCTACGTTGATAAAACACGTCTGGCGAATTATTGCGAGTGAAAATTTTACCAAAAAAAAAGTTTTTTTTTTAAATTTTATTGTTGAATATTTCAATATTTTAAATGACTATGAAAAAGAAATAAGAAAGCAAAAAAAAAAATAAAAAATGAAATTTGTTTACAGTATTGTAAATTTCTGTAAATATTTGCCATGGTTTTATGCTGTTACAAAATCAGCATATAGATGCTTAATTAGTTGGCCTCATATTGTGTGTGTTATGTTTGTTAACAAGCAACCTGTAGTTGCACCAAGAGGAACATGTACACAGTGGCGTAGCGAGGTCGGGTGTCACCCGGTGCGGCACTTAATGATGTCACCCCCCCCCCCCAGAGGCGTAGCGACCCTTCCCGGGGACATATTTTCGATTTGCACCCCCCTCAAACTTTTGATTTGCACCCCCCCCCCCCCCCTCAATTTTTTCTCTATATATTTTGCTATTTTTTTTTGCCTTGTGTCACCCCCCTAAATGGTGTCACCCGGTGCGGTACTCACCCCCTACGCCTCTGCATGTACAGTACATCTGGATCTATAAACGACCACAGGGATGTGGAAGACTACTAAAGTAACTTGAAGTACATTTAGTGGTATTAAGGGCAAAACTATTGAGGGGAAGTTGCCTGAAAGAAACTAAATCATAACACCACTTCAGCGTCACTCTACCTTTACCCAGTGGCGTAGGCACTTAATGGTGTCACACCCCAGAGGCGTAGCGACCCTTCCCGGGGACAAACTTTCAATTTTCGATTAACATCCCCCCCCCCCCCCTCAAATTTATCTCTATATATTTTGCTATTTTTTGCCTTGGTGTCACCCCCCCCCCCCTAAATGGTGTCACTTTCCTAAATGGTGTCACCCGGTGCGGCCGCAAAAGAGCTGTGTGGACACAACGTTCTACTGACTTGAACCGGGATTCGAACGCGAACATTCGTGTTATGAATCTAGCGCTCTACCTCTAGGCCACGCCGTCCCCTGGTTCAATACTTAGAAATTTAAAAAGAAAAAGGTCGAACAAGCGATAGTAAGCAAGGCACGTTCTTCAAAGGCAAGTATTTATCACATTTAATCTGGCCACCAACGTTTAGAGGCTATTTACGTCTCGCGTTGACGAGCTGACGCGTGAACTTGTTGATTGATTTATCGAAAACCTTTCGCTAACCCTGTTCTTGTCTGTTGCTTGTGTCTCTTCCAATTTTCTGATGAACACATTTTAAAATTTGGCATGAAAATAACAATGTAATTACTATGCAGTTTTAGTTTTATTTATGTAAATGTAAGGGAGGAATGGGACAATCGTATGGAAGTATGGAAAACATTTTTTATTTACAGAAAGGGGTCATCCATAAAAGACTTCGCGCTTTTTTTGGACAATTTTTACCTCCCCCCTGCCAAACATCGTCACAAAAAGCCAGACACCCCCACCAGTGTTTCTTCCAGACTTTTTTCTCCGGGGGGGGGGGGGGGGGTGGCACTGGAAATTTTCGGGGGGCGGTAGACTTTCTTCGGGGGGGGGGGGGGGCGGACACTGTTAACAGTATTTATTTTCTATATAAATTATATAAGTTTCATTTCGTTCGGGGGGGGGGGGGGGGGGGGAGGCGGTAACAATTTTTTCAGGGGGGCTTTGCCCCCCCCCCCCCCCGAAGAGATGCCTGGAAGAAACTCTGCCCCCCCCCCACCTAAATGACGTCACACCTCAGCCTACAACCCCCGTCTTAATTGCAGTTGAATTTTTCTTAAAATACAACATTTTTTCCAAAATCTTGTCTGAACTCTGTCAACTTTGAGTATTTTAATCAATTCCCATTACGATTTATTCAAACAGTTTTCCATAACGCAAAATAACGGTTATAATTCGTTTTCTAACACTGTTAGATTGTGGGTAAGAATAATTTGCTCAACAAAGAACAATATTCACATATTTTATTAGCTCAAAACAAATGATAAAATAACAAAAATGTACAAAGCAATTTTTTTAAATACTTGTTGTATTCTCTTTTACTTTTACATTGTTTCTGATGTATAACATAAAACTAGATTTTAAACTTTAAACATCTTTGTGAAACGGTAAAACAACTAACACAAATAAATTCTTGTTTGGCATTTGATCAATACATGCAACATATCTCAATAAATAGTCTCAATAAATTTGAAAAATCAAACTTTTTATAACAGGTAACATATTTGTAAGACATTTCTTCCTGAGTTATTCAGCATCTTAAAATAACAGCTGTGCAAAAACCTGTGACTGATGCCACACTCAAGAGGCTTCTCCCTGACAGTAGCATTGAGAGGGGGGGGGGGCGGGGGGGGGGGGGGACATATATCCCCGGGCGTTGACATTAGGGGGCGCCAAAATGATTTAGAAAAAAGTTTGTCCCCGGGAGCCAGGAAGGTTCGCTACGCCTCTGCTCCCTGAAATTCATTATTTTATGTCTTTTTTAACAAGACTGAAGGAAAAAAATTTGGTTCATTTAGCTGTACACATAACTAGTTACAATTTCAGTCTCATGTTTGTTTCTTATCCTCCCCCAAGTCACATAATATTCAAAATCTTGGACAAACATTTGCCCTATTCGGGAAAGAAGAAACATGCACTGGCTAAAATTTTACCAAGTGTTTGTTAGTGTTCTTAGCTTTAAAATAAATAACATATTGTAAAGAAAATAAATGTTAGTAATAAAATATGCTCACCACAAAATAATCAAAATAATATTCAAATTGTTTTATTAACTGGAAAAAGCTATACAAATTACATACAAATGTAAACAGCATGTATTTTAAATAATACTTTTCTTTTTACACCGTCAACTCCCGCCACCCACCTCAAAGGTTTTTTTTTAAAAATCAAATTTTTAAAATCAATTTATTTTTTTAAATCTCTAAAAAAATCTTTTTTTTAAAATGGTAACTCATTTAACAAACAACAAACAAAAACTTTAAAAAATTAGCATCAAAATGTGCTATTTTTAAAAGAACAAATTTAAGTAACAAAGATATTAAAATCTTAAAGTTATAGCATGATTGCAAGAAAATACTATTACTGGTGGCCATATATATATATATATATATATATATATATATATATATATATATATATATATATATATATATATATATATATATATATATATATATATATATATAATGTATATATATATATAATGTATATATATATATATATATATACACACACAATTGTACAAACTAGTTTAAACTATGTAGTATGTAGCCTAATAATGCAAGAGATTTGTTATATATTCCAGTGTTAAAGTAAATAAATAGACTACCTTACATTTCTGAATTATTATTCACATAAATGTACTTAATTTTACACATTTTTCTATTACAGTAAATATTATCACATGTATGCTAAATGCTTGTTAGTCATTTAATCAATATATCAGAAATTTATCTCTTTAAACATTGATAATAAAAATAAAATAATGTGTAAGTATAAATATACAGGCCCTATTTAGTATAAAAGCTACACACATAAATAATTCATTTATTAACCTATCATTGATAATAAATAAAATGTTGAATAATATTCAGTTAATCTTGTGACCATTTTATCAACAACAATATCACAGCAAGCTAACTCAATGCATGAAAACAAACAAAACAAATACTATCAGAAAAAATTGAAATAAGGTACAAACATAGAATGTTTGCAGTGTAATCAAGAGTATTACATTATGAAGTAGAATTCACTTGTTTCAGAGACTTCGACATTTGAAGGGATAATATGGTCAGCACTAAGCCCAGCCACCTCTACTTTTCCTTTATCAGAGCTGGGTGGACCCAGGGATTTTGAATAGACTCAAGCCAGTGATCTGAACTCGAGAACTATAGGTTAGCAATCAAAAGTCTACTATTTGACGCCACCACATTAAAAAAAAAATATATATATATATATATATATATATATATATATATATATATATATAAATAGATAGATATACATAGATAAATAGATAGATATATAGATTGATAGATATAGATGTATAGATCTTGATATATAGATATATATATACATAGATATAATTATACAGAGAGAACAAAACACACAGAGAGAGGAAAAGAGAAACTATCTGATTTAATTAATTGTAGATTTACTAGACTATAACAACAAAGGAATTAAAGCCTTTACTCATGCATTCATTTATATTAATTTTGTGACCATTTTATCAACACCAACAATATCACAGCAAGCAAACTCAATGCATGAAAACAAGCAAAACACATACTATCAGAAAAAAATTGAAATAAGGTACAAACATAGAATGGTTGCTATGGAATCAAGAGTATTACATCACAAAATCGCACATTTTATAAAGTCGACCAGACAGTCAATAGGCAGATAGAGTTTCTGTGTTATTGGCATAGAAGGGAGAGTGTGGTCAGTTCTGTGACCTGCTGACGTTACATACTATTATGAGAATCAGGTACCCACCAGAGCTGGCAAGACTCAGGGACATCCTATGGACTCAAGCTTGGGCACTGTTGACTTTTGGTTAAACCATTTTATTTTTAAAATGCAAATATAGACCCCCCTCACCCACAAATTGTTACTATTGTCCATTACCCCAGTCAATGGAAAACACCTTACTGAGAAAAAAACATTTTAACACTTTGCTATGTGATCTGAGACATGAGAGCGAACTTGTTTTCACAAACATCACACTCATATTTATCTTCAGAATGTTTAAATATGTAACTATAAAAGTAACTTTTTACTACAGATACTTTATTTATAAAGTTATCTAATATGCAAATTGTTAAAAAAAAGTTAGATGAAGCCACAATTTTAATGGCAATTATTATTCAAGAATGTTCTTATGACTTTTTAAATTAGACCAAGGAAAAAATTCTTAGGACTAAAACAGTATTTTTTTTTTCTGGTAGGTAAAGAAGATTGCTGCTTTAACTTTTTAAGACAAATATCACTTTCCTACTTAGATTTAGAATGAGTAGACCTACTCTTATGTTTTCTTAAATATCTTATTAGAGCAAACTTTTTATGACAAACATCACATTCATGAGGTTTATCTCCTGTATGTAATTTCATATGGGTAGTCAAATAAGATAGTCGCTTTAAGATTTTATGACAAATTTCACATTCATAGAGATTTACAGAATGAACCTTCTCATGAATAATCAAATATCGTCTGAGAGCAAAATTTTTATGACAAACACCACATTCATGGGGCCTATCTCTAGTATGTGTTTGTTTATGTCTTAACAGATTCTTTTGGTTATTAAACTTTTTAAGACAAATACCACACTCATTTTTATCTCCAGAATGAATAGTCTTATGCTTTTCTAAAAGAGGCTTAGAAAAAAAAGTCTTAGGACAAACATTACACTTATAATGTATCTCTCCAGTATGGGTAACTTTATGTTTTTTTAAATTACACTTAAACACATACTTTGCATGACAAACATCACACACATGAGACTTCTCTTCATTATGAATTATTTTACGTTGTTTTAAAAGACACTCACACTCTTTTTTACAAACATCACATTCGTGGAGAATATCTGAAGAATAAATTTTTTTATGAGCAGACAAATTAGATTTGTGCATGAATCTTTTATGACAAACATCACATTCATGTTGCTTCTTGAGTGTGTGAACAAGTATGTGCCGCTTTATGAGATTTAATCTCACAAATTTTTTATTACACACCTCACACCTGAAAGGCTTTCCTTCTTGATGAAGTCTCTGGTTATTTGAAGAAAAATCGTTCAATGATTTTGAATTCTTAGACTTGAGTTCTTTTAAATCATTATAAATCAGAAGTGCAAGTGTTTCAATTAAAGCAGTTGTATCTTGAGAGTGTTTTAGCTGTATTTTTGACACATCTTGTTTCTCATTCTTAGAAGCTGCAAGTGTTGATCTATCTGATTCCTTACCCTCAAACGCTGAAAATGTTGAATCCTGCAATTTTGTGTCCTCACAATCTAAAAATTGATTTAAAGCATTTGGTTTAATCCTCTCACTTGATTGCTGCTCAATCGCAGATGCACTTGCCAATCCTTTAAAAATATTTTCTTCTTCCATTCATATTGGCTTAAAATAAAAATAAAAAACAGAAAAGAACTTATGAAAATATAGCTTGCTATAAAACAATAATAACTTTCTAATCTCTATACAAAATTTTATACTAATGGATTATCACATTGTCATTGTCTCTACTCAGGCTTCACAAGACAAATTTTAAATAAATCTAGATTTATGTATAAAGATTATGAATAGAGTATTGACTAGTAAGTTTAGTAACCAATTCTAGAGACAAGGTATTTTGCAACATCACAATCTTTCCCATATATGAAAAAAAAAGCTTCATTAAGTCTAAACTCATAAGTCAAAGGCTTTACTCAACTTTACTGAGCCTATTACCCTAAACCTATTTGATGAGATTTTGTGATAACTTCAATTCAGATGTATTGTAATTGTTATTTTAAACAGGGTATTAAAATTTTAAAAGTATTATTTTTCTGAATTAGGGAGCTGTCTAAGTCCTAAGTCTTTGGAAAAAGTTTAACTATAATTAAATTACATATAAATTAAATACTTTAATAATAATAATCTAAGAGATCTAGAAAATCTAGATCTAGACTCTAGTTTCTAAAATCTAAGACATTCTAAGCCCAATCTAAAATCTAAGCTCAGTTTAACTTAAACTTTACTTTAAGTTTAGTCTGCTAAATAAAATTATTAGAAATCTGGACATCTCGTTTACTTGCTAGACCATTCTAGTTTAGAATTTAGATCATCTTAAATGTGATTTTATAATCTACAATTCTAGCTAGCTTCTAGATCTAGGCCTAGATTCTAGATCTAGATCTAAAACGATCTAGAGAAATCTAGTAGATATCTACCTAGTCTAGATCTAGATCTTATTACTTTTGATTTTTATTTATTTTATAATTTTAGGTTCAGTGGCGCCTGCTAAACTTTTTCAACCGCTCCTTGGAAATTAAATTCGAATAATAACTATTGTCAAAATGTGGTATCGCATTCTTTGTTTTATCCACATAATTGTAGTCTCTAGCCTATGTCTCAAAGCCCAGCTATTCTGAATTAACCTGATGATGCCACCAAACGCCGCAATGCAGGGAGGGGGATACAGGTTGTCCAAATCTAAATGGTGTCGAAAATTTAATTAAACAATTATATTTATGTAATTATATTTTCGCGCATATTATCTATCTATATATATATATATATATATAATTCTCTCTTCGATACCCTAGAAAACACCAAGCTGTAAGCGCGCCTAGCAGCCCCCTCTCTTCCTCTCTTGGCATACCCCTACCTCCCCCACCCCCACATGGTCTGGTGAGCTGTGGTTCACGCTAAATATTTACAATCGTAGAGCCGGGTTTAGTGACGGCTATTAGGGGCAAATAATTTAGTTTGAAACGATTTTAAACTTAGGGGAGGTAACTAAGAGTAGGCTGCTTTCACGTAGGGGGGGGGGGCAGTGTGTAGGGTAGGGTTGGGGGAAAGGAGGGTATTATCGTTCTTAACGACCTACTGATAGTGTTTTAAAGCAAACATTTTCAGTGGCAGCACTGGTACTGTCGAATTCACAAATTATGAATAACTGAAAAGTAGAAAACAAAACAACTAAATAGCGGCATATGATACGCCGCGGGTCGGCTCGTATTTTGTAAAAAAAAAAAAAAAAAATAAATTAAAAAAAAACCTACAGCACCGATTGATTCTCTGGGCCAAAAAGCAGAGGTTTTTTCAACGTCTATTGCCCTCCCCCACCACAACTACCGAACTGACTGTAGTGACAAACTCATCATAACATAAGCAATTTTGTGACGGTGTGAGATGAGGGGGAGGGGTTTAAATGGTGTGACGTCACATTTTGGCATATTAAAAAAGCAATGTTAGAAAAGAATTTTAATCAATAAATTTATATTACAATTTATTAAAATAATTTAAAAAAAAAACGCACAATAACGGCTAAAATTTTAATATTACTTAAAAAAAAACAACTCTCTAACTCATCCCCCCCCTTTCAAAATTCATCGCCCCCCCCCCCCCCCCCCCCGAAAGAAATTAAATTCATATAGAAAATATATACTTTTAACAAAGTCTACCCCCCCCCCCCCCACCCCGGAGAAAAAGTCTGGAAGAAGCACTGAGAGGAACATGCAGACGTTGTCTTCAAAATGGTAGCCTCCGTTTCACTTTCATGATTTTAGTTAAATCCATAACTATTCCTGCTTTTATTCATTTTTTTTATTTTCATTTTCCAAACAGGCTCCACCTTCTTTAAAAAAAAATGGTCGAAGGGATTTGGGAGCAGCCGATCCCTCCTCCTCCGCCCGCTGTTCAACGGTAGGCCTATATGCTTTTCTCCCTAATCTAGTTCTTTATTTGTGTCTTTTCGCCACATCTTAAAATTTAATGTAATAGCTCTACAATTAACATTATTAAAAATATAATAGTCCTATGCATATTATATTTATGAATGACGACGCACATTGTTATATAATGTTAACGTTGTTCTCTTAGTGTTTTTTCAGCAGGCTGGGAAAATGTACCATAATATTTTGGTAAAACAAATAGATACAGTAAAAAGTAAACATTTTCCTAGTCATGTGACCTGCCGATTGTAAACAGACGTGATGTGTCGTTGATGTGGGAATCAATACATCATAGTTTTTGATAGACAAAGAATATGAGTAATGCTACCTTATTTATTTTAGATTAGTTAAACCATCCAGTCATAGTTTATACTTTCTAAGTAATTAAAGGCAGTCACTATTCTCAAATAAAAATTAAAATAAAAAGGCCAGACTACTCCTTCCTACAATCTTTGAATCTACAACTTACAACTACACTCAACTCAACATGGGGCCTATTACATAAAACAATAACATTATATGATTATAAGTCAAGTCTTATGATTAAGTTCATTAACATTAAAAAACATTAACTAACTAGTGACAGTGAGTACTTTTGGGAGTAATAATGCGTTGGGCATAGATCTACTTACTAGAACTATGTTAGGCATTGTTAGGTACAGACTGAGAGACTCACCACTCTCACTTCTCAGTTCTCCAAGACCAAGTCAGGGCAAGCAGACTCATTAAACTTATAGTATTACTTATAGACTATAAACTAGGCATTTTGATTTCTGCTGTTTCGATGCAGAAAAACCACTTTCAGACTTTTTAACCCTCTTAAGACGTAGCTTTTTTAGAGAGCCGGTGCTAAGAAGACGGAGCCTACTTTCAAGTTTTGCACTTGTATCACAAAAAAATTTTGAAAAAAATAAACTAATTATTTTACATGCATAAAAATATATATTATTTGTTAGGAAATTGAATGAGCTAATATGATTTTTATAAATCTAATAAAAATCTCAACATACATTTATGTGAGCTTTCTGATTTGCATAATTTATGCACGAAAAAAATTTGAATGCACTAAATTACAGTAAATTTGTATAAAAATACGTTTTTTCTCTCTGTAATGCTAATCTAAATAATACACAAACATCTATTCAATAATCTGAACTAATTTACTGATTATTATTTCTACATTAGAATTTCTAAGTATATTTTTAGTATATTTTGATGACTGGACTGTTGGACATAAGAAAATTTACGATAGGACTCACGGCACTAAAAAAATCGATAAAAAACAAAAAAATGAGGCAAACTTTCAATGGAAGTCGCCATTGAAGTGCTAGATATGTACTATAACAGTTAGAAGCAATCTGATTGGCTGATACGATACTAGAAAGCCAATCGTGTGGCTTCTACTATCACGGCTGAGACCCGGCCGATAGATCGGCCGGTCGTCTTTTTGGCTATAAAACCGGCGGCCGATAGATCGGCCCGGGCGTCTCAAGAGGGTTTTAAAGTGTACGTGTAGAAATTCTCCATTTTTTTAATAGGAATCGAAGCATAAAATCATAGTCATAGGACTGATTAGTTAGGTCATATATGCTATATGACATACTTTTCTAAAGTTAGTCTATATTATATAAGCCTAGCTAGTTTGAGCTACATAAAGGTTTAATGTATTATGGATATTGAGTCTGGTCTTAAACAATTTTCGGGTGTCCCCAATAAATACTGTAGGCCAACCCTGTATCATACTCAATTGTATTTAATAAAGTAATAGTTAATACAGTGACAATTTTTTATTAGGGTTTATGCGCATAGTCAACACTTTTATGTAATACTAATAAATAGTTAAAACTTTTGCTTGTTATGTTCATGATTAGTTGACGAGATTTAATGCTTATGCCATGCTCATTAAATGTTCATCTAAAATAAAACAACTATTGGCCTAAACAATTTTAGCATTACTATGTATGCTCACTTTGATTTTAAAAATAAAACAAGTACAAATATTATGTTTATATTATGTTTCAAGACAGCTGAGTTCAGTGTAGATTTTATTAAGTATAACTAACGTTTTAAGTAATGATATATGTTTTCAGGTAGTTCGAAGTGAAAAACTCAAGAAAAATGAAGCGCAGCAATCGAAGTGAGTCTGATAGTCAAATTGTTGTCAAGGACTCAACTCCACTAATCAAGACAAAGTCTCAGGATATTCAAGATGGTCAGTAATTTTTAGTTACTTAATTTAACATGGGGATTTCGCTGTTATTTAAGTAAATTTAGTATGTATACCAATCGCAAGTAAAATTGTGAACACGAATCACTGATAAATTTTAAGGATTATTTTAATATTCTTGTGTATTTATATAGCAGCATACATAAGTAAAACAAAAGTAAATTTTGATCAGTTTATTATTATGCTAATTTCGATTTCATTTCGATATCTAGTAACGAATCCATTCACTTAATGGTCACTTACTGCATTACCATGAACCTAGATTTACTGAATTTATATTTACAGAAATAAAGTTGTTACTAGTTCTATGTCCTCCCATTAAATGCAGTGTATCCTACAGCTGTAGCAGACTAAGAAATAGTCTGTCCAGAACAGTATCTAAACAGCTGTTTGTTTTCCTTATGTTATCTTACACACAATGTGCCTTCTAGAACAGGCTTGACTCTGATATTGCCAATATCATCTAGGAAGCTTTTGGATGACGAATCATACATCCAGCTTATTTATTCCTGTGTAGTCCTTGAGGAGCAAAGGGTTGCAGTGTAGGCCCTATTGATTTGGGGCAGCTCCCTTTAATTTCAGCTGACAGCCTTTGATTTTCATGCTGTCTTCCTCCAAGATTTTCTAGGTCTGCCTACTTTTCTCTTTCCTTGTGGGTTCCGTTACAACATTCGCTTCTCAATTTCTTTATCTGCACTCCTCTGGGTGTGTCCAATCCATCCCAATTCTGGGATTTTAAATTCCCCGTCTATGAGCTGTTATCTTGTGGATTGCCACAGGTTGGATATGGAGATTTTGCCTGGCCATTTTTGTTTTAAATTGTGTTGTAGCTACTTGATAGTGAAGGACTGTAGCCTGTTACATACATCCAATTTGATTTTTTTCTTCATATTTAATTGTAATGTTGGATGGGATTTCCTCCAATAAAATTATTTTATTTAGTATTACATGTTATGCACCGTATATGCAATAGTTTCAGATTTCAGCCTGTTTTTCTTTTTGAATTTACTTCTGTAGTCTTTGTCTATCCAAAAACACTACAAGTCAGTAGTTGATTGGTTTTTGGAGTTGTCTCTCCTAGATTGGTTGCTGTCCCCAGCTACTGATCCTCATCAAACTTGGGGGCTTTTCAGATAAATAACCATGAACTTTACAGAACTGACCATGCAGATTTGTTGTTCTATTTTTGTATTATCAACATATCACAACCTATGAGAAATTATGTACAGTTATTTTAATACATTTTATTTAAACAACTATCATGAATAAGTAAATTATCATTAACTAATTAAAGTGCTCATATAATGTTGACTACTTCAGCTGACTGGTAATGCATGATGACATTATTTAGGTTTCTCATAGTAGGAAGTGGCTTTAAAAATTTTCATTCTGCTCAATGAGAAATCTAGAAAAGACAAATGGTATGTTAATAAAGCAGTTTATTGCAGAGATTTTATACCAGGTTTTTCTGCATTTGTTCCTTGTTTTAATATTATGTATATTTTGTTATTATGTTTGGATCATGTTGAGTTACATGTGATCTTCTATTATGTAATTAGTTGCTTTAAAATTAGTTTAATTCTTTATAATGATAATATATTCAAATTGTTTTAAAAAATTTGCAAACTATAATGACTGGTATAAAGATGCCAAATTGTAAATTTAGAATTTCTTAAAATTAAATTTTGGATGGATTAAACAGAAAATCATTATTCAGGAACCATTGGTCAGAATTTTAAACAATTTTCACCATGAAACCAATGTTAAAAAGCATTAGGACTAATATAAATAGTCTCATTTCAAACCAGTATGGAGGGTCACACATAGATATCATATATGTTTTGATACATTTCTTTCAGTATTATCATTGTATAATTATTTATTAATGATTTGTTGTTTTAGGCTGGCTAATTATCTTATTCTGCCTAATTACTTGTGTGTCATTAAGACAACAGCTCCTTGTCTCACTACTGTTTACTTAGCATTATAAATAACCCAATGATTAATGGTATTTGTGTACACATGGGCCCACTACTGCGACACACTGGAACCCACTGGAATGTCTTTGCTGTCAACAGGCTGAAGGTGCCATGTTGATCAGACCAGATTGTTTGAAACTATCTTTAGAAAACTTGTAGTAGTAATATGAGTATATCTGTAAAAGGTTTGGATTTTGTTCTCGTTATTTAAATTGAGATGTTTTAATTCTCAGACATGTCTTTTAACTAAATTCATGTATTTTTTAATATTTGTTTTCTTGTACTTTTACTGCGTCGATATCTAAAACATGATTTTTTTACTTACTTTTTAAATTTTATTTTGATAGCAATTGTAAAATTCATAAATGCACTTGAAAAATAAATATGATAGATAACTAAAGTCATATTCACATTTATCATATTCTAATAATTTGTTTTTGAGTTACATGAAATACACTACATTTAGTTTTAAGAACTTGCAAAGTGTAATAAATTTTATCTACAGACTTAATACCCATTTGAAAATATTTGCCCCGATATTTTCATCTCAATCTTTTGATTTCATTTACTTTCTTTTTAAACCATTTTAACTTGATCATTTTATTTAAGCACTGTATAATTAAATTCATATTTTTATAAAGTTTTCAACAATATAACTCTTCTCTTCTAAAATCACTTTTGTTTTGCCAGGGTCATCTGTGGTCAGCTGGTGGAGAGAACTGCGGCCGTACAGCATGTACGTGCTGCTCACCCTCCTACTGGCCTACCTGCTCAACCAGCTTGACCGGTACATGCTGGCCATCACCATCATGCCCATGGCCCAGGAAATCAAATTTGGAGACCAGGGTTGCATGAAGAATGAGTCCAGCCATGATAAAAGTAGCAATGTAACTTGTGGGGCTGTGACTGAAAGCAGGTACAGATTTTATACTGATAGTGTGTTTTATAAGATTTACATTTTTCTGAGATCTTTATTGTTAGGTCTTAGAGACTAAAATAACAAGGGTTTGAGTTTTGCTTTGGTACTTTGGAAGAGATAAAGGTTAAAACTACTTACTTTTATAAATTAGATAGAGTTTAGGTTCAGTTAAAGGGCAACACTGGTGAATGTAAAAGCATTTGGCTGAAAGTTTGGATCTCTGTTTGGACTTGTGACTGTAGAACGTCAGTGAGTCCATCCAGCTCTGATGGGTACTTTACTTACACTGGTGAAAGTAAAGGCGGCTGGGCATGGTGCTGACCACACCATCCCTTCATTTACCGAGGTCAAGAAACATATAACCTATACTTCATCTGCCCAAATGATTCCCAGGTCTAAAGAGGACCTTGACTTTTTTTAAAGATGCATTTATAATTGTTTACCTGTTAAGGATAAGATATAGCTGAAAAGCCAGAGTGATGCCACTTTCCCTTTTAGGATTTTATAAAGGCTTAAGACTTGGGTTAAATTTGTGTTAGACATTGTTATTAGCCATTAACTTCAAAGTATTATTAAATCTCTGTTTCTATTAAAAAAGGAAAGCAATATATATACCATTTTTTTGTTGTCAGGAGTAGAGTTGAACTATTGAAAGAGTACCTAAAACGTTAACTAAACCTTCCTGACTAATGTTCTGCAAAGTTGTGCCTTTGTGATAAACTTAAATAATATACTGAAGCCACACATTGCAGTTTGACTTTCTGTCCCATTCCACAAGTTATTCTTGGTGCACCATGGTTTATCTTGTTCCCAGTTATAGTAAAAAAAGAACAAGCAACTACAGAATTAGCATATGTATTTGAAACAGAGTTCAAGTAATTATTAGTTCAATTACTTGAGCCAGTGTGGACTATAAAAACACATTGTTACTGTCAGTGCTATCTTACTTGAAATCACCATTTTGATTAACTGTTCACATAATAGCAAATTCTATTTAAAGCTAACTGGGTTAGGTTAGAAGTTTCTAACCTTAGGTTAATAACGTACAGGGTGAGGACAAGTGAGGTTGTTGACTAGGTGGGGAGGGGGGGGGGGGGTGCATGTTTTATCAATTGTTATTTTGGGTGAATATAAAATACATTCTGCTTCTAAATATTGTGGGATGTTTAATAAAGAAGACACCTTTCAGTCTGGCAGGTGGAATAGAGTTCACCTGTTTTCCAGTAAGTAATGTTTCTCTTTAGACCTAGTGATCCTTTGGGCAGAGGAAGTAGAGTATATGTTTCTTAACCTCATCATTTGAAGGGAAAGTCTTATCTGGTTTTAGAGATGAGAGAAGGCCAGTATTATGAGTGGGAAAGATGAAACTACTGTAGATTCAGCTTGTTCAGAATGCTCTAAAAAATAAAAAAACATGTTGCCATTTACAGTCTGTGATGCTATACTACTGTAGATTCAGGGTGTTCAGAATGTTCTAGAACAATAAAAAACCTGTTGCCATTTGCAGTCTGTGATGCCATACTACTGTAGATTCAGGGTGTTCAGAATGTTCTAGAACAATAAAAAAACATGTTGCCATTTGCAGTCTGTGATGCCATACTACTGTAGATTCAGCTTGTTCAGAATGTTCTAGAACAACAAAAAAACATGTTGCCATTTGCAGTCTGTGATGCCATACTACTGTAGATTCAGCTTGTTCAGAATGTTTTCGGACAGAAGCAAACATTTGTTCCCTCGTAGCAGCCATCCCATTTAACACAATGTTTCATTGTTGGTTGGGCACCAGCTGGGTTAACACTTACAATAGAGAACAAAAGCTATGGATTTTCCCCTTGATGTTTGTATCAGCTTGTTTTATACCTGGCTGCTGAGTAGGTTTTTTAAAATGGCAGTTACAGCATAAGTCAATAAAATGTGTTGACTACCAGGATGTTTCTATTTATACAGTTTGAGCAATGAATAATTTTGCATCTATTACTAATACTATTTGTACAGTTTGAGCAAATGATAGATTCTTTGTCCATTACTGTTTATACAGTTTCAGAAATAAAATATTTTAAATAAAAATACACATTTAGTAACAGAAAAAATATAACTTTTCACTCTATTCTGAAACACATGTTTAAAAAAACTGAACGTTGGTTCTTGCAAAACTTGCCCTTTTATCATGGCCCCGGAGAATGTAGAGCAAGTCCTTCATGACTACCCCTTGTAAAACTAGGTGCAATCCAAACACTGGTCCATATACACCCCACTCAAGGAAAAACTATATGGGGCACCCGCAGATCTCGAGGCCACAGTTCAGTTCTTCCACAAAAATGTCATTGTTGTTTAAATCCTCCAACATAAATAAAGAACGCAGAAGAAAAAAAAGAAGAAAAGACTATTCATAACTTCAAAGGAAAAAAATAAAACGAGTTATCTCTCTTGCTACTGACACTACACTAATAAGACCTGACTCATGGTTTAATGAAATAGAAATGAGAAAGTATTGATAAAATGTATGATGTGCTAAATGAACTTAAGTGTGTACTAAATTAATTCTCTTAGCACATAACGAAGCACAAATTCAACATTGTACATACCAGTGGCGGAACTAGAAAAAAAGGGCCACCCCGCAAAATTTTTTTTAGCCCCCCTATATATATTTATATATATATATATATATATATATATATATATATATATATATATATATATATATATATATATATATATATATATATAACAAAGGGAAAATGAATATACAAGAGCGTGGGTGGTGTCTATAGAATAAAGATAATCCAACCGCAGCTAAGGTAATCTTTTTAGTAAACAACCATCAAGTCAAAAATGCAAGGACATTAAAAAAAATATTTAACTAGCAAAATTTATTATGGTCGGCTCTGCCCCCCCCCCCCCCCCCCTCGCATTACGGGGTCTGGCGGCACTATAGTTTCACCCCTGGTACATTCATCATTTCTATAGTGGTGTCATCAGACTGACACAGCCGTTGGGAAAGGTAGGAGTTTGGGGTGAGTTGAGAAATAACCGGCCACCATTTAAATATTTTTTTTAGCTCAAGCCAAATACAATTATTTGTTGCTTTACTGAATAACTTCAAATCCTTTTTGCTGTCTATGTGTTTAAATTATACAGTTCTAAACTTTTCTTTATAAAAGAGTCAATTGTTCATCAAAATCATCCCAGTATTTGTGGGATAGATAGATTGATAGAAACTTGGTTTTTTATTTTGGTGTGTTTACCGTAAAAATACATACATATCATTAAATCTAAGCAGTTGGTAAGAAAAATAAATTCGCTGTCCATATAAATGAGTGGCCAAATGGTTTCTTATGGAACATTATACTAAACCTTATATGAAACAGAGGAACTCTACTTCTTCTACCCTAACAGGAAAAGATAATGATGCACTAAACAGAAGAATAAGATTACTAACTCATGTCAATCCAGAGGCGTAGCGACCCTTCCCGGCACCCGGGGACAAACTTTTCGATTTGCACCCCCCCTCAAGATTTCGATTTGCACCCCCCCCCCCCCTCTCAAGATTTCGATTTGCACCCCCCCCCCCCCTCAAACTTTTGATTTGCACCTCCCTCAACCTTTCAATTTATTTTTCCAACCCATTTTGGCGCCCCCCTAAGGTTGGCGCCCGGGGACATATGTCCCCCTCGCTAGGCTACTGTGTCAATCTGTCTAAAACTAACTCTGATTTACATTGTGGTTTTCAAATTTTTAATACATTTATTTATTTGAATACTTGTAGCTGCCTGGCGATACACAGCTCAAATGGGACGTCATTATGCAAGTGGGACTACAATGGTCAAGGCTGGGCATATCAGATCCTGGCCGGTCCTGTCTTCATACTTATCTACACCTTTGCTGGTATATTTATTGGGTTCGCTGCTGACCACTACAACAGAAAGCTGATGTTGGCCTTTTGTCTGATATTCTGGTCGGCCATGACTCTGTTGACTGGTTTAGTGAAGGAGTATTGGCAGCTGGTGATACTGAGGTTTCTGTTGGGATTGGGGTAAGTGTTTGCTAGGACTGGGGTGTTTGTTTGGACTGGGGTGTTTGCTAGGACTTGGGTAAGTGTTTGTTAGGGCTGGGGTAAGTGTTTTTTTTAGGGCATATTTCAACATTTTTTCTCTTATCTTTTTTTTTATTGTGGATACTTAAAACATTTGTTTTTATGTGTAATTATTGGGGTATATTTTTATGGATGTTAAATTATTACTCCTCCATTTATTGCAGTGTTTGTGATTTACTTATGATTCAAGCTAATAATTTAAACATAAATTCACAATGATTTTATGAAACCATAAATTAGTTTTTTATTTTTTTTTAAATCTAGAATTTTTTAAAATCAATTTTTAATTAAATTTAAAATTGCTAAAAGTCAAGTCATAAGTTTTATTTCTCGTTTGAATCCACCTATCTCTTATTACTACCTAACTCATAAAACTCACAGTTGTTAATGGCATGCAATGACAGAAATAATTTTAGAGGTACCAATTAAAGCTGAGAGAACCTGAGCTTTAAATTCCGACCAGGGCCTTATCATAAGCTATTAGTCCAACACTGACCTTCTCATATTTTTTTTAATAATATCAGTCAATACATTCTTTTATTATTCACAATAGCATAAGAAAAAGTGATGTATTTTTTAACATATAAGATGACAAGGAGTATAAGATGACCTTCTTATTCTGCTCTCTTAATTGAATTTATGTTGGAGGATTTAAACAAGTCCAACTTAGTTGATGATTGACTGTGGTCTCCACAATTAAAATATAGTTTGGAATAAAAGCAACCCTTTAAAACATTTTTTGTCAAATATTCTCTTGGTTTTAAAAAAAATTTCTTCTTGTACATTAAAAAAATACTATTACATTTTTAAACAAGAAAGGTCAAATGAAGTAGAGTTTATCTGTTTATAGGCATTTTGATGCAGTATGTTCTTTCTCTATACTTTTTTTAGTAATCGCAGTGACATCCAACACTTATACTTGTCAACCAAGTTTGAGAATTTCTGGCTTGTAATCGTATGAGTGAATAGTAGAGCCAAAAATCTAGAGTTCAGGTCACTGGTTAGTCATAGCACATCCCTGAGTCCACCCAGCTCTGATGGGTACCTAACTCACATTAGGGAAAGTAAAAGCGGCTGGGTATAGTGCTGGCCACACTATCTCTTCTTATGTCAAGGTCACTGAAACAGGTGAACTCTACTCCAACAGCTCCATGCGCCATCAGGTTTGAAAAGGAAACTTTACTTTAATCATATGTATATCTTAACCCTTGACCTTTAACCCCCTCAGTGAAGCGGGAAGTACCCCATTTGCTGCCTCCCTGATATCTTAACCCTTGACCTTTAACCCCCTCAGTGAAGCGGGAAGTACCCCATTTGCTGCCTCCCTGATATCTTAACCCTTGACCTTTAACCCCCTCAGTGAAGCGGGAAGTACCCCATTTGCTGCCTCCCTGGTATCTTAACCCTTGACCTTTAACCCCCTCAGTGAAGCGGGAAGTACCCCATTTGCTGCCTCCCTGATATCTTAACCCTTGACCTTTAACCCCCTCAGTGAAGCGGGAAGTACCCCATTTGCTGCCTCCCTGATATCTTAACCCTTGACCTTTAACCCCCTCAGTGAAGCGGGAAGTACCCCATTTGCTGCCTCCCTGATATCTTAACCCTTGACCTTTAACCCCCTCAGTGAAGCGGGAAGTACCCCATTTGCTGCCTCCCTGATATCTTAACCCTTGACCTTTAACCCCCTCAGTGAAGCGGGAAGTACCCCATTTGCTGCCTCCCTGATATCTTAACCCTTGACCTTTAACCCCCTCAGTGAAGCGGGAAGTACCCCATTTGCTGCCTCCCTGATATCTTAACCCTTGACCTTTAACCCCCTCAGTGAAGCGGGAAGTACCCCATTTGCTGTCTCTCTGATATGTTAACCTTTGACCTTTAACCCCCTCAGTGAAGCGGGATGTACCCCATTTGCTGCCTCCCTGATTGCGGACTATTTCACCCAAGCTATGCGAGGCACTGCCATGGGAATATACAACTTTGGCATCTACTTTGGTTATGGCTTGTCTTACGCTGTGGGGAACTTTATCACAGTGGCAAACATTAATGGACAGGTCAGTTTTTATTTGTCATAACATATATACATGGCTACATATGAATGGACAGGTCAGTTTTTATTTGTCATAACACATATACATGGCTACATATGAATGGACAGGTCAGTTTTTATTTGTCATAACAAATATACATGACTACATATGAATGTACAGGTCAGTTTTTATTTGTCATAACATATATACATTACTACATATGAATGTACAGGTCAGTTTTTATTTGTTATAAAACATATTACTTGCTGCAAATATGAATGGGCCTACCTTGCAGCTATTATGTCAGTTTTAATTGTCATAAAACATAACTTGCCATTAATATGAATGGACAGGACAGTTTTAATTGTCATAAACCAAATACATTGCTGCAAATATGAATGTACATCTCAGTTTTTATTGTCATAAAACATATTACTTGCAGCAAATATGAATGCAAAGGTCAGTGTAATTGACATATAACATATACCTAGCCATGTTGAATAGATGACTGTGTTTACAATTTAATTGCACCGTTCACTGCAGAAGTGTCATAAGTATTACGAGCCGACCCGCAGCGTATCATACGCCGCTATTTAGTTGTTTTATCTTCTACTTTTCAGTAATTCATAGTTTGTGAATTCGACAGCACCAATGCTGCCATTGAAAATATTTGCTTTAAAACACTATCAGTAGCTCGTTAAGGACGATAACCCCTCCCCCCCCCCTTCCTTTCCCCAACCCAAATTATCTGGCCCTAATAGCTGTTACTAAATCCGGCTCTACGATTGTAAACATTTAGCGTGAACCACAGCTTACCAGGCCATGTGGGGGTGGGGGTGGTAGGGTATAGCCTAGCGAGGAAGAGAGGGGACTGCTAGGCAAGCTTACAGCTTGGTGTTTTCTATCATCTCCAAGAAGAGAATTATATATATAGATTGCGTGTATGTGTCAACTAGCATTGAAAATGAAGTTTTTGTTTAAAACCAATGTCAGTGAACTGTTTTTAAACTAGGGCTGGTGCTGGGCCTTCATACTAATGTCAGTGAACTGTTTTAAACTAGGGTTGGCGCTGGGCCTTCATACTAATGTCAGTGAACTGTTTTAAACTAGGGTTGGCGCTGGGCCTTCATACTAATGTCAGTGAACTGTTTTAAACTAGGGCTGGCGCTGGGCCTTCATACTAATGTCAGTGAACTGTTTTTAAACTAGGGTTGGCGCTGGGCCTTCATACTAATGTCAGTGAACTGTTTTTAAACTAGGGTTGGCGCTGGGCCTTCATACTAATGTCAGTGAACTGTTTTAAACTAGGGCTGGCGCTGGGCCTTCATACTAATGTCAGTGAACTGTTTTAAACTAGGGTTGGCGCTGGGCCTTCATACTAATGTCAGTGAACTGTTTTAAACTAGGGCTGGCGCTGGGCCTTCATACTAATGTCAGTGAACTGTTTTAAACTAGGGCTGGCGCTGGGCCTTCATACTAATGTCAGTGAACTGTTTTAAACTAGGGTTGGCGCTGGGCCTTCATACTAATGTCAGTGAACTGTTTTAAACTAGGGTTGGCGCTGGGCCTTCATACTAATGTCAGTGAACTGTTTTTAAACTAGGGTTGGCGCTGGGCCTTCATACTAATGTCAGTGAACTGTTTTAAACTAGGGTTGGCGCTGGGCCTTCATACTAATGTCAGTGAACTGTTTTAAACTAGGGCTGGCGCTGGGCCTTCATACTAATGTCAGTGAACTGTTTTAAACTAGGGCTGGCGCTGGGCCTTCATACTAATGTCAGTGAACTGTTTTAAACTAGGGTTGGCGCTGGGCCTTCATACTAATGTCAGTGAACTGTTTTAAACTAGGGTTGGCGCTGGGCCTTCATACTAATGTCAGTGAACTGTTTTTAAACTAGGGTTGGCGCTGGGCCTTCATACTAATGTCAGTGAACTGTTTTAAACTAGGGTTGGCGCTGGGCCTTCATACTAATGTCAGTGAACTGTTTTAAACTAGGGCTGGCGCTGGGCCTTCATACTAATGACAGTGAACTGTTTTAAACTAGGGTTGGCGCTGGGCCTTCATACTAATGTCAGTGAACTGTTTTAAACTAGGGCTGGCGCTGGGCCTTCATACTAATGTCAGTGAACTGTTTTAAACTAGGGTTGGCGCTGGGCCTTCATACTAATGTCAGTGAACTGTTTTAAACTAGGGTTGGCGCTGGGCCTTCATACTAATGTCAGTGAACTGTTTTAAACTAGGGCTGGCGCTGGGCCTTCATACTGCCTGGAATTCCAGGGATAGCTATTGGCATTCTGATAGCACTGACGGTCAAGGAGCCAGACAGAGCCAGTAAAGTGAGCAGTGAGAAAGATCTGGAAGATTCCGTCACCACCCCGGCTGCTAGGGAAGCCACACCCCCACTGAAAGAGAGGCTGATAAAAGTCCTGCGTGCTTTCATCAGTCCGTCACTTCTGCTGTTGTGTCTAGCTGGCTCTATCCGCAATGCAGGTAAAAAATTTAAAATCAGCATTAAGTAATGCAGGTAAAAAGGTTTTGCTCATTGGACCATTAAGTAATGCAGGTAAAATAGTTTAAACTCATAATTAAGTAATGCAGGTAAAATAGTTTGAACACATAATTAAGTAATGTAGATGAAAGAGTTTAAAATCATTATTAAGTAATGCAGGTAAAATAGTTAAACCTTGTCAGATAATGTTGATAAAATAGTTTTAAATCAGCATTAAGTAATGTAGGTAAAATAGTTTAAAATCATCATTAATGCAGGTAAAAAAGTTTGAACTCATCATTAAGTAATGTTGGTAAAATAGTTAGAACTCATCATTAAAAAATGCAGGTAAAATAGTTGAGCTCATCATTAAGCAATGCAGATCAAATAGTTTAAAATCATCATTAAGTAATACTGGTAAAAATTAGAATCCATCCAACAGGTGGCTATGTGTGGGCCAACAACTCTCTTATAATCTGTCCTACTTGTGTATGCCTACAACTCTCTTACAATCCATCCAACAGGTGGCTATGTGTGGGCCTACAACACCCAGCCCTACTTTGATGCCACCAACGTCTCCAAGGAAACCGTGGGCTCCTACATGTCCTGGATCCCCCTGGCTGGAGGCAGCCTGGGCGTGTTGTTTGGTGGCTTCATCTCAGACAGAGTGGTCAAGAACCGCGGCCTGTATGCCAGGATTGTTGTCTTGGTGGCCAGTCAGGTGAGAGGGGTCAGTTCAGTCCCTGGGGTGGTAACATGGGTGGGGGGATGCTGTTCTGACATGAAGCTTGTGACAGAAGGCATTGTGACAGAAGGCTTTGTGACAAATGGCATTGTGAAAGAAGGCATTGTGACAGAGATTCCAATATAAAACAGTCATTCATCAACACACAAATAAAAGAAATGTGGAGAAAATAGTTAATAAATCAATTAAATGTAATTTGAATGTACTGTTCTTTGTTTGCCAAATAAACCTATATTTTTCTGCATTGAAGTCACAGTATGTTGCTGAAATATCATTTAGAGATTAATTTAGATAATTAAAAAATGTAATTGAGCAACCTATACTGTATTAGCTATGCTTTCTTAAAGCATTGTCTAATCTTTTATTTTGTAAATATATTTTTGTTCATAAATGTGTGTGTATTTTGACATTCTTTTAGTTTCATAATTTTTGAGTTAATGTTTTTTTATTTTCTCCAGCTGGTCGCCGCCCCTTTTGCAGCAGGTGCTTTGTTCCTTGATGTTCCCTATGCCTTTATTAGTTTGATCCCTGCCAATGTTCTTGGTAAGTTGGGGTCATTAGACAACCCTATTTATATTAAACACTGTTTATTTTAACCCTTTTTAACCTATAATTTTAGTGTTTAATCATGCTGATGTTAATTTTATTCCTACCAATGTTCTTGATAAGTTGGGGTCATTAGACAACCCTATTTACTTTGAGAATATTAAACACTTTGTGTTAACCCTTTTTACTCTATAATATTAGTGTTAAATGATGCTAATGTTAATTGGATTCCTAAAATAAATTATGACAATTTAAAATCTGTCTCTCATTCTTAAGTCATGTTTTATATTGTCTTAAGTTCAATATAGCATAACATTATAAGTGTATACTATTTGGCCTATTTTAGAATAAATTTAAAAATTAACAGTTAAAAATTTTTTTCAATTTAAACAAAAATTATCAGACTTTTGTAATCTGGCATTCATCCTCAAGACATCCTTTACCATAGTTTCTTCCAGGCATCCCAAAGAAAGTCTAACCCCCCCCCCTCTCCCGAACAAAATGGGATTTATATAGAAAATATTTACTTATAAAAGTGTCCGCCCCACCAGAAATTTCAAGAGTTCTTTACAATGCCATAAATTTAATGCAGTTCAAGCTTATAATTGTTTGTCTGGCCAGGTGAAATGTGGGTCGGCGTGACACTGGCCGTGGCCGTGGAGCTGGTGCCCAGCCAGGTGCGCACGTCTGCTGTGGCCGTGTACCTGTTCATCATAACCAACATTGGCGGGAACATCCCACTGCTGGTGCCCCCAATCACTAAGTCATTTGAAAACAGCGGCTTCACTAAAGCTCAGTCTCTCAGAGGTAATGTACTAGCTAGTGGATCCCTATAGTAGTCATGTAGTCTAAAGTTTTATACTGCTGCCAGCAACTTTTTTTTGGTATAAGATAAGGTAACCGTTTTAGACAGATGAAAAAAGAGTTTATATATGTCTCAGGATGATCGTGTAACCAATTTAATTGCCAGTTACCATCACAGACTCTTATTTCCAGGGACCTATTAAAATCTGTTTTACTTTGATCGCAGCAAAAAAACATTTTTACCACTTTCCAGTGTAAACATACAACAATAATTTGGTCTTTTTTATGTATCCTACAAAAAAACCAATCAGAACTGAGTATATTTATCATACCTTTTTAAATTTTAATTTAATCTAAATACGGTACATTTATCGTAGTTCACAAACAACCAATCAGAATACAGAATATTTACTGTGGTTCACAACCAATCAATCAGAATAGTTCACAACTAACTATTCAGAATACAGAATATTTTTTTTTGTAGTTCACAATCAAACAATCAGAATAGTTCTTGACTAACCAATCAGAATACAGAACATTTTTTATAGTATGAGAGAATCTTTTTTTCATTGTTCACAACATTCATCAAACCCAACCTAGCTACTTCTTATTTCAGGAGCGCTGTATATCTTGTACCCTGGATTATTTCTCCTGGGGGGATTTTTGTTTCTGCTGACCATGTTTGTTGTGAAGAGGGACCAAAGGCGTGCACAGATGGAAGTGGTCACTATGGAGGACCCGTGAACATAATCAGTTGGCTTGATTGTTATCATCTAATTAACTTTATTAGTGGTTTGGTTGTTATCAAGTCTAATTAACTTAATCAGTGGTTTGGTTGTTATCAAGTCTAATTAACTTCATCAGTGGTTTGGTTATTATCAAGTTTAGACATAGAGTACAAACCATAACATATCTAGTGCCGTTGAAATACTTTATTTAACAATTAAAACGCCCCACTACTAGTCATAACAAATATCCTTTAAATAGGTTAGAACTCAAGGCATATAGTATAATACAAACACATCCTTCTTATTGAAATAGTTTTAAAAATCCAACCATCATTTATTAGTGTTTTCAAATATTTTAACAATTAATTCAAAGCATGAACCATAACAAATTTTGGCATTTTGAAATATTTTAACAATTAATTCAAAGCATGAACCATAACAAATTTTGGCATTTTGAAATATTTTAACAATTAATTCAAAGCATGAACCATAACAAATTTTGGCGTTTTGAAATATTTTAACAATTAAGTCATAGCACATGTCATGACAGGTCTTTGTGTTATTGAAATTATTTTACTATCATGAGAAACAGTACAAAAACAATGTTTATGTCAGTGAAACAGTTTATTGGTTGATATTCTAGCATAATCCATTTAAAAAATGTACTAATTCATTTTTCACATTCAAGCACAAACTATAAGAAATCTCTTGATCATTTGAATAGCTTTCAGATGGGTACACATGAAGACCTATGAAGAAATCTGTAATCTTTGTTTGTATATATCTCTCTAATTCCTGGCATACTTACTGCTCAATACATATCTCTGTTATTATGTATATTTGTTTGTAACCCTACGCTACCCTTGAATATTGTTATAGGTTTTTTCTGTATACCAATGTCTCTAAATGCCACAAAAATAAAAAATAAAACTGAATGTTAGATAACTCGTTGTAAACTGTAAGCTAATTAAACTAATTAAAGATAATTAACTTGCTCATGTCAACCCTAATACAAATCCCACAAGTTTTAAGCCTAGCCCTAACACTAAACTTAGTAATACAATAAACCTTACAACTAAACACATTGTTTTGAAAAAGTTGATTTAGTTGAGAGATTTAGTTTCTTGTCAAACTCTTTAACAAAGTATACCACACAAACAACTAAAACAATCTCTGTTATGTACTTAGCTTGTTACCTTAATTATTGAGGGATTTACCCATAACTTAAAGCAAGCAGTAGATCATGACGAGCCCTTAAAACATAAGGAGTTTACCATTATCGACCTAGCTTGTAATATAACTTATGGCTAGTGAAAATGTACTAATATTAGCGGATCAAAAAACAAAATTAAAAACGTATAAAGTATGTGCAGTTAAAAAATATGAGATAGCAAAACAGAAACAAGATAAAATTTACAAACTGCAACATACTTTTAAACCTGTTGCTCCAAACCTTTTGTCTCCTCCCTCATCTCCCCCCCCCCTCCACAAAAACACATGATGAATTTTTACTAGCATAGAACATCTACACATAAAATTTGTTCTCAAGTAGTCTTCTCATATCTAAATTCAACATCTGCTATGTGAGACTTCTAAATAATTCTCATGCTCTTATTTTAAAGTTGTGCTTATGCCAACAGTTCAGACATTAAGCAATTTATAATAGTACTCCGTAACATCGAAATTTTTCATCACTTTGTATTTATCTTGTTTTCATGTTAGAAAAAAATCAAACTAAATTTTTATTCCTATTTCAAACTTCTTAAAATTATTTTTTAAACTGTGATATTATTTGTGTTCTTTTTGTTTCCATTTTTCTTCCAATTTAAAGTTTGTATTTTTCAATTTGTGGTCATTGCATGAAATATGATCAAACACTATTTTTTCTTCTTAAAAATGTGTTTCACTTAGTTATTTTTAGAATTATTAATTTAGTTAACAGTCAATGAGTTGTGCATAAAATACACCACTAATGTTATTAAGATATTTAACATAAAAGTCCATTTTGTTAAGAATATATTTACAGTAAATACCAATTATGCTACAAAAAAAATTATAACTAAACATTTTATGAAAGCAATTTTTTTAGTAAATCATTTAATAAGACAAAGAAATGTATAGCCAAACGCAATAAATCCTATAAAGATATTTAGTATAACAATTTATGTTTCATATAAGTAAACCCAGTTAATTTTATAAAGATATTTGTAGTAAAACACTGTTTATATTATGAAAATAAATGCCTTAATAGTAAAACCTGTTATGAAGACTTTCCCAAAACTTACATGTCACTATTTATATTCCAAGGTGCATTGTTAAAAATCTTAATTAATTTGCTCTTACTTAACTTTCTGTGTTAATTTATGTTTAAAAAAATGGTTTGGTTTTTTATTAAAAATCATTTTTGTCCTTTCCTATTAGCCATATTGTACTTCCTATTATTGAAATGCAGCTATCAACAAAATTCTAACCTGAAACCTAATTGTACATCTAACCCTGAGAGCTGAGCTAAAAAAAAATCTTTTGTTTCCTTTGTATAGCTGGATGTAAACATATAAAATGCTATTTATTTGCTTTAATAACATGCCAGCAGGCAATAAAACTGAAGTTTACCTTTATAGACCTAGCATGCAATCTAGGGTATGGCAGCTGAAGACGTACCAATACTGTATTCATTTTTCTGTGATTGTTATTTAGCCTCAATACTTAATATGTTATTGGAACAAATAGTTTCTTTATTTGTAAAAGTTAGCAATTTATTTTTTAATAGTTATGCCATTTTAAAGATAATCTCACTTAAAAAGTAATAGAAATGTTTTCTGTTTAAATACTTCAAATAACCATGCAAGATTTTTTATTGAGCCATAACTTGACTTCTTTTGTAAATATATTGTTATCAGATGTTCTTCTTTGTTGACATCCGGTATTTAGTCTCTCTCTTAAATCTGTCAGCTTTTATGTATGTTAATACAATGACTACTGTATTTTAATTGTAATATGTACATTTTCTAATTTTTAATACTACCTGATAACAGGTATTTTTTGTAACTATTTGGTCTCATTTTTCATACAGGGTATTTTTTTTTTTAAAACCTTACAAAATTGCTATTGGTTCCAAACTAAATACAGAGATATCTTTTTAAGGGTTGTCCATAAATGACGTCACACTTGTAGGGGGGAGTGGGGGTCCTTAATTTTGTGACAATGTGTGATGAGGGGGAGGGGGGGGGGGGGGTCAGATGTTGTGCCGTCACACTTTTGCATTATAAAAAAAGTAATTTTAGAAAACGAGTTTTAGCCGTTATTTTGCGTTTTAGAAAACATTGTTATAGGAATTGATCAAAATACTCTGTTTGACAGAGTTCTGACACAATTTTGGAAAAATATCGTTGTTTTAAGAAAAATTCAACTGCAATTTTTAGGGGGGTAGTAAGCTGAGGTGTGATGTCACTTTAGGGGGGGGTCTGGCTTTTTGTGATGATGTGTGACGCAAGGGAGGGGGGGGGGGAGGTAAAAATCATCAAAAAAGCGTGACGTCATATATGGATGACCCCTTATTGAACTGGAAACCTCAAGCAAATATTCTAGTAAATTGAAGTATTTTGGTGGTTTGGTTTGCAATATCTTTTTTTCTTGAGTCTAGGTCTGTCAGTTCTTCTACTTTTGAGCCATGTCCTTCAGTTTTTATCTGAAGAAATCTAAATTCTCTATTTATAGTTGTTGACTTAGATATAATTTTCAAGCTTTTATTTCTTGCTTACGTATTTATCTTACACTTGGTTAAAGGCTGGGCTATTTCAATCTTTCCATTTTTTTTGTAAGTTATTTTAACTTTTGTAACAATAGACATTTGACCAGATTTTTATTTTGGCCAAATAGGTGTGGTTTTTGCCAGCTGGTATCATTGTATTGACATTGTAGTACTTTACTATGTTCAATGTAATGTTTATCTTGTTTCCTTTTTTTGTTTCCTGTAATATGTTACATCTGTTCAATTATTTCAACTACTATTAAAGTAGCTACTCAATACTGGCATTAATAGTTTAAATTGATACCAATGTATTTCACTTACTTTGATCAAACCGGCTTTCAATTTAGCATATTTTATAAACTCTTTCATATTGAAATAATTAATTTAATCAACACTGTAGTATAATAGTAATGGCATCACAGCTGTGTAATGAATAAATGCAGCTCTTCCTTTAAAATTTTAAATCCTGCTACTGAGAAAAGCCTAACACCTAGAATCAAACATGGGTTGTAATTAAAGGTTATTACATTTTAAGTCGTCAGTACTAAAGTATAACATTCAATGTAGCCTCAAGATATTCTTAGAAGAAAATTTTTATAAACATTGCTGTCTGCTTTGATGATTTTTACCTACCCACACTCATAGATCATCACAAACCCCCCCCCCCCCCCCCCCCCCCCCCCCCCCCCATTTCCTACATGCCTTAGCTTACAACCTCAAAATTTCAGTTTAATTTTTTTAAACATCAGTTTCTTTCCAAAATATTGACTGAGCTTAGTCAACATAGATTATATTAATTGATTTATATTACAATTACAAAAGTCATTTTCTAAACCCTTAACTAATTTTAAAAAAATTCTGTTTCTCAAAAGAGTTTCTCAAATCATTATCTCAAATCAGTTTCTCACATTACTTAAAGAAGGCAACAGTTTCAAGTCACACTATCTGACCCCTCCCCCCCCCCCCCCGCTCATCACTTATTGTCACAAAATTATGAACTCCCTCCCCTGGAAGTGTGACGTCATTTAAAGGTGATATTTCTTCCCCCCCCTCTCCCCTTTCCCCCTAATGGATATTGTATTTTATCAAAGACTTTTTATATTCTGTATTCATCTTTTGGGTGAAATGAAAGCAATAAAATAACCCATTTGATCTGTCTTGCTGTTCATCTGTCTCTATCTCTCTGTGTAAATACTGTTTTGGAGATTTTGGAATTTAAGTGCCTTTCTCTCTTAATAAGTATTAACCACTGCAAATTGCATAACAGCTTAGACAAAACATTAATTGAAGGCTTGTGTTTTTCCTACTATCAAAATTTAACTTTCAACATCAGAGAGTCACTTCTTTAAAGTGAGTGATCTTGTCTTTACACCTTAAAATTCTATTTGTTTGAGATATATTTCAATATTTAAAGCTATAGTTAAAAAATTATTGTTGGACTAGAACTGTAAAACTGAATTGAAATTTGGAAGAAAATGGATCTTTAATTAAACAAATAATAATGAGTCCCTTCATATCAGTATTGATTGTTGACACCGAGCAGTAAAGTACAAGTTAAAAATCAATAATCAATATTTTTAATAAATACTCAAAACTTAATCAATGCACTTGCTCAACGAACAATTACGCTTATGCTTGTTAATTTTTTTTTATGTGTTTATATTTTTATGATGAGTCAGCAGGATTGGGTTTTCTTTACTACACACTAGACTTGCTGTGTTTAAGCTATCCTACACCTTGTTTAAGTAGGTTAGACCTTGATGTGTTGGCTTTTTTTTTTTTGCTTTTGTTTTGTAATAAAGTAGTTCTTGCTACTTTGTTTGGACAACAATGTTGATTAAGAAATAAAGAAGCATTATAAAAAAAAATATTTTTGTTAGATAGAGGTCCTTTATAAGCAATCAATATATTAAGAAGGATGTGTCAGTTTTAAATTGGGTTTTTATAGTTTAATTTAGCTAACATTGATTTTTTTCTTCTGTGCATTAGTTGAGTTTTTATCAATTCATTCCAAAAAATGTATGTAATTATATAGATTGTCTTATTTTGTATACTCTTTCAATCAGATGCAACTTTTTTTTGTTGTTTTAGGGTTGCAAAAGGCTGTGTATTGTACATAATATCCAGCTTTAAAACTGTTCCATTGTTAATATGGTTTTAGTTTTGTAACTGTCCAATTTCCAGTAGGTGGCAGCACTATAGATCACTTGAGTGCTACCCAAGTGCCTTTAAGTTTGATCACCAGGCTTGAGTCATTCAGGACTTTTGCTGAGTCCACTCAGCTCTAATGGGTACCTGAACACACTATTCTTTCATGTGCTGAAACATCAACTCTGCTTCACCTGTACTAAGGACTGGTCGAGTCTGAAAGTAAACTTAGCTTTCTACTTTTTAAATTAAGAACACACATAACTGCTGGATAATGATCTCTAGTTGATTTCTCACATTTGTATTTCTTGGCCTGCAATTAAAAACTAAAATTTGTTATTTTGTTATTTTTTTTTTTTAATGTCCCTGTTCACATTATAATTTTTTTTTTTAATTACAAAAAAAATGTGAGCAAAATTTTTTGAGTAGAAAATTTTCTTTGGTTGAAAGCTGATCATTCAGTTATGTGCGGATAATCTCATCCGATGAGGGTATTTTCTTGACTATTAAAAGCTTTATATACACTACTTTACTTCTGTGACATTTTTCTATATCGAATTTGATCTTTGTTAGTTTTCTTTTGATGAACAAATTTGATAAACTGAGGAAATAAATTCACTAACAATTATTGTGTTTGTTCAGTTTATTATTGCTTTATCTTGCACTTGATATTAACTGTTTTAAAAAAATAAATGAAATTCTGAATGATCCTTCGTAAAATAATTATGGCCTAAGAATTAACATAGAAAATAAATCTGTATAATGAATAAGATCTTGAATTACTTTGGTTGTAGTTTGAAGAAAAAATATCATTTTTTTAAATTTCAACAGACTTAAAATTAGTCGTTTAAAAAATTATTAAAAGATTACTAAAACCAATAACAAAGGGGAGATAACAATGTTAAGTACTTTCGGTCAGCTGTTGGTCACGTTCGGTTCTTGTCTGAAATTCAACCATAGACTAAGAAGGGGCAGATAATTCAATGTTTGTCGACTTCATGAAGAATGAATTATTTTAATAAATAAATAAATATAAAAACAGAATAATACGCTTTTAAATAAAATAAACTTTTTTTTAAAGAAAAGAATTGAAATCTGGGCCTACACTCGTTATCTACTTAATAAAAACAAGCCTGTGGCTTAATTAAGGATGTTATACCTTCCACGGACCTTCCCCAGCCCTTTACATTAGAATCTTAAAAACATAAAACCACAGTTTAACGTTCCTTAAGCCCTTGCATAGACGGGTGGGGTGTAAGCTTGGTTAGTACCCCCCCCCCCCCCCACCCTTCAATGGAATTCTCGCTGCGTGTACTTGTCGCTGTCAAAGATCTCACTTTCAGAAGCTTACTTCTGTTTTGGCCCACGCTAAACAGGAGCCCACAATGAAGCAGATTTGCTTTCATGCATCCCTTCGGGTGAGGGGCTCTCTAAGAACGCCTACCGCCCCTTGCACGAAGTAGATTTTATATAGAAAATATTGGCCTATATACTTTTACTAGTGTACGCCTACCCGGAAACTTTAGTCTGCCCCCAAGAGGCGGGGTGCAAATCGAAAGTTTGTCCCCGGGCGCCGGAAAGGGTCGCTACGCCTCTGCCGCCCCCTCCGAATGTTTTAAGTGCCCCCCCCCCCGACCAGTGAAAGCGTTCGAAAGAAACACTGCAATGGAGCTCAAAAGTGAATTGCTCTCTCTCCTCTCTCTCCTGTTTTTACGGCCATTTATGACGATACGCTCGCTGGTGTCGCCTTACAATACATCTACTATTTCAAAATCTTATGAGCCACATGAACAACAATTGTACTCGGTTTGTATATATATATATATATATATATATATATATATATATATATATATATATATATATATATATATATATATATATATAGCTATATTTTCAATAAGCACAAGCTCTATTGTAGTGTAGCCTCAAGAAAATATTTTATTTCTTGGAAAAAAATGAACATAAAAACCGCTAGATGAATGGTTGAATAATTTCTTAAAAATAACTAAACGGGTTTTCCCAATAAAATTACATGAGCTATTTTTTAGTTATTTCATTCCTGACTGTTCCAAACCGGTCATTACACGCGTGGGAAGTTATTTATTTTTTTCTCGAAAAATGCCTTCTGCTAGGTTTTCTTGAAAAATTTTATTTTCTTAGAAAGCTTAAAAATTATGCTTCGTTTAAAATTCAATCCTTTTTTGTAAATAAAGTTTAATGTATTTATTTTACAGCAAGTGAACGCCTATTTACGAGGGATAAATTAAAGAAACAAGAATAGAACACTTTTTATGGGTTATAAACGCTATTGTTTCATTATTATTGTAACACAAACAGGGCTATTGGCTATTATAAACGCGATTCCATTAACACTTTGACGGCACTCATGTTGAAAAAAAAGAAATAATGATTTGTTCGTTATATACCATTTCCTTACATATAAAAATCACGACGGGGATAAAAATCATTAGTTTACTTTTTGATACACCGTCTAATTATATAGGCTACAACTTTCCACATTTGCCATGCAACAAATTATACAGAAGAAAGCAACAGCTAAAAACAAATGTATTTCAATACATTTTAATTATTAGCAATCATACGAATATTGTTTAAACAAAACAGATCACTTTATCTCCTCCCCCAATGTAATGTTGTTATTAGGTAGTAACAGCTTTATTTACCAATACACCTCATATTATCGAAAAGAACTACGCTATTTTAATGAACGAGCAATCGTTTGTTTTATATTAAAAGTTTTATATTAATAGTTTTATATTAATAGTTTTATATTTATTGTTTTATATTGTTTTATATCAATTGTTTTATATTAATTGTTTTATATTAATTGTTTTTTATTAATTGTTTTATATTAATTGTTTTATATTAATTGTTTTATATTAATTGTTTTATATTAATTGTTTTATATTAATTATTTAATATTAATTGTTTAATTTTAATTGTTTTATAATAATTGTTTTATACTAATTGTTTTGTATTGATTGTTTTATATTAACTAGAAACAACTCAAACTTTGTGTTAAAAGTAAACAGGTGTAGGTATAATTCGTGTGAAAATTTGTATTGTAAAAGAAATAGAACACAGCCGTTAAATAACACTGATCTATATCGTCCCATCTCATATACATCAATGTAACACTATGATGAAGGACCCATCATCTCAAAGTAATAACCAGCTTTGTTAATCTATGCATTATTGTTCAGCGTTCGAGGAAAACGTATTGTTAGCTCCTGTTTTCCCAGAAATAATGTGTTATCACGTCAACGGCATGTACACGTTGATTTTTTACATCCAAAAGGCTACTTTTTATTTTCGTTCAACGTTAAATAGATGGCTGATGAAATTTCTCCACGCAGTTTGTTGTTAGTGGTTTTACCTGCGTGTGTTTCAACCGGTTCAGTTTGTTGTTGTTTGTGTTTGCTTAATTTATTAAATCCTTTCGCTTTGTCCGTCACGGATAGAATTTTTTAAATTGAAATTTCATTGTTTTCTACGTAACAGATTTGTTTTAAAAATATAACGAAGGTAAAAATAGGAATCTTCGTAACATAAACGTTTAAGGAACTGTAAGTTTGATTTAATTAAAAATCAATTAATTGAAAATGTATTAAATGTTGCCATATTATTATCAATAAAAGTACCGACACTCCTTTACTCACACTTAATGTGTAATTTTTCAATCATTCCATTTTGTAAATGATATGAAAAATATTAAAAATTAGAAATATTAGGCCTAAAACATTTATAATAATACTTTATCTATGCATTAAAAATGAGAAAAAAAGTTTTTTTTTAATAAAATAAGTTAATATTTATTTTTAAAAAATGTAAAACGCGTCGGCCGCTATTGATATATAGATGGAAACTTAATTTTATGTGTTGATAAATAAAAACCACGTTTTATTTTCAAGTTATAAATAGACATCAGCTTCTTTAAAAATATACCAATGTTTTTTTTTTTTTTTTTTTTTTTTTTTTTTTTTTTTTTTTAAAGCTGTTACGTTTTGCATTAAGGTAGAACCAAATCACAGGAACGTGTTGAGCTCGATACTTTGTGACTATGAGATTACATCTGTTTGTATTCATTGAAATACTTGGACATTCTAAAGTCCATACGTCGGACATCTGTAGCAGTAAATGTGATGAGGACATCACCTCCAGGACTGTGTCCTATCCCCTGCCGGGTAAAGTGGACATCGTGACGTCATGCGGACGGGGAAACTTCTGGAACCAGACTGGGAACAGATGTCACCCATGTCAGGCTGGAACATTCATGACATTCAAGATGGCGGAGATAACGTTAACTGCTTGTCAGCCATGTGCTAAACCGAGTGAGGTAGGTGGAACCGTAAAAAAAGTTCAAGTGCACCCCCCCCCCCCTCTGAAGAAAAAAAAAGTCTGAGGTATAGCGGCCAAAACTAGGAAACAGGTCTATATTATAGATGTAGGTCTACCTTTAGTTAGTCTGTATGATCTACAAATGCGACAAATGTTTCTTACAAACTTTATTTTTTTAAGGAGGGGGGGGGGGGGTAGGGGGGCACTTGAAATTTTCGAGGGTGGGGCGGTGGGGTGGGATCGAAGGGGGGGGGGGAGATACTGGTAAGTATATTTTCTATATAAATGCTATTTATACGGGGCGGTAGACGCCGAATATTTGCCTGTATGGAAGAAACTCTAAATGCGACTTTTGTAAAGTTTGAGCTTAGGTGTAAGGTTTAGGGGTTTGACTATGACTATATTTAGTATGAATGTGCAGTAACTACGTGAAGATCTTAAATCCGGTTAAAATGCCGTTTCTGGATACAAATATGTTTTCAATGACATTTTTTTTGTTTCCGGTTATATTTGGTGTTGAGGTGGTGATTTTGGTTTCGGTTTAGTGAAAAAGACAACACTGTCAACCTAGAACCCGTTGTATTTCTCCCCCAACGGGTCATCTAACTAGTTAATAATATATTGCTCTAACCCAAATTTAACAATTCATGCAGTTGAAGTTCAATACTTAAAATTTACAGAATGAAATAATAGAAACCGGCTGCAGCTCGACAAGAGACAGTACCTTGACCTGTGCAGGAGGGTATTACAACAAACCCGGACAGTGCTGGTGTGAGTGGGCATGCGCAGCGTGTGACGCGACGTGTGGATACGGCGAGAACTTGTACTTTGAGCACGAGGCCAGACCGTGCACCGTTGCGCACAACCGGAAGTGCTGTTCGGACCCGGGCATGACGGTTAAAGATGGCGACTGTGTGCCGGTCGAGACGACAACATTGTCAACCACGACGCTTGAAGACGCCTTAACAAGCAGAAGAAACGTGACCAAAACAAGAGACATAGTAGTCGTACACAATAAAACCTCAGGGATAAACACACATTCCCATTTGTGGAATGTTCTAGTGTGTGTTACTGTGAAATTCATAATATATATGAACTTTTAGTGATGAAAAAAGGCATAGACGGGGAAAAGTTATAAGGCGAACTAATTGGTAGCTATGTATATACTAGCTGCATACCCGTGCTCCGCCACGGTAAATCTTTTTAAATGTACCAACTTGGGAAAAGAAAAAAAAAAAACACAACACAACACAAACAAAACACAACCACAATACAACCACAACACAACCACAAAACTACCACAACACAACCAAAACACAACTAAAACACAACCAAAACACAACCACAACACAACCACAACCACAAAACAACCACAACAAAACCACAGCACAATCAAAGCACAACACAACCATTACCACAACACAACCACAACACAACCGCAACTCAACCACAACACGACCACAACACAATCACAATTCAACCACAACCACAACACAACCACAACACAACCACAACACAACCACAACAAAACCACAACACGACCACAACACAATCACAATTCAACCACAACACAACCACAACATTAGAATCACCACCGAACAATACGCTTTCCTAGGCGTCCGCGCCCAAAGAGAGCCTTTCCAGCATAAAAAAAAATATGTCACATAAATAGATCCTACTTCATAACTTACAATAAAACAATGCGATACAAATAAATGTACGGCAAGTGGTTTTTTACTTTTATGGTTCTAAGAAAACACATTGGCAATGTAATTAGAATCACCACCAGAGAGATCCTTTCCAGCATTCTCTATATTATAATTCTAAAATTTCACTATCTGTTAAGAACGAAAAACAAAAACAAAAAATAGTGATTTTGATGGATTATATACTAATAAGAAAATAATATAAATAATCTTAACACTTTTCTATTTTACTTATAAACCTTAACACATAATAATCAATGCGGTAGTAATAAAAAAAAATAACTTAAATTATTGATGAGTTAAATTTATTTTTAAATGACCTCCCATTGCAAAAATTACAAAAAAAAGTTGAATTAATTAGTTGTTTCGAAAATGTATCCACTTTTTCTAGTAATCTAAACGAAAATGATATTTGACACTGATTCTTTTAATATGTTTTAGCAATGTGCGTGTATTTAATATTTTCTTTACGTTATGCAAAATAGTAAAAACAGTGGCTACTATAAAATAACTTTATGTCGTTATATAAACAAACCCTACTCTATTATTTATAATAAGACACTGCGATGCACTGAAAAGCACTGCATGGTGCGATGTTCACTTTTATGGTTCCAAAAGCTATAGCGATGACTGAAGGAAGGACTGACACACTACCAGCCCACTTATATATATATATATATATATATATATATATATATATATATATATATATATATATATATATATATATATATATATATATATATTCGAATCCGGATTCAAGTCAATAGAACGTCCCTGAGTCCCAGTGGCGGAACTAGAAAAAAAAGGCTCCCCCGAAATGAAAAAATTAGGGCCCCTTATATAATTTAGTCTACTTCATTGCAATATATAACCATTCTGAGAGAACAAACCAGACAAATTTAGTCCAAACTCATCTTGGCCTAGAAATAATCATGACCACTACTAAACGTGCTGGTCAAAAATATATAAAGTCGTAAGCTTGATTCGTGAATGGTTTCTCGCGTTATGTTTATTTTTTTCATTTTTGGCTTATTTAATATCAATTTTGAAAACATTGATTTTTATAGCTATATCATTGTTTAGTACGTCTTATTTAAATAACAATTCATAGAATCAATTGCTTTTTAATATACATAGTACAAAACTATTTAAATGAGCTTCGTGGGCATACCTATTTTAAAGTAGGGCAGTAAGTCATGGAATTAGTGTGCCTACCTTTCAAACTACAGCTTTTGTAGATTTCAAAATATTTTTCTATGCAACAATCTCTGCTATAGTAGACCTGTTTTTTTTTTTTTTTTTTTTTTTTACAAAACCACTTTCAAGATGCATGAAAAACATAATTTAAAAAAAAATCATTGTTTTTTGGTCGGAACTGGGCCCCTAAACGTCCTGGGCCCCCCCCCGCGGGGTCTGGCGGTATGGTAGTTCCGCCCCTGCTGAGTCCACCCAGCTCAGAATGGTACCTAACTCATGATAGGGAAAGGCTTCTGGGCATAGTGCTTACAACACTATTCCTTCACTTGCTATGTGGACAGTCAGGTTTGAAAGAACTGTTATAGACTAGGTCGCATATCATATTGAACATTATGTTGGTTGAAAAGGTAACCAAATCCGAAGTGATGGAGAAAAGCTACGCAAAAACTTATTGGCAAAGACATATAAATATACTATATAATTTACAAAAGGGAATCGATGTGTCTCGTCTTGCGTAAGCCAACAATCACCATCACCAGACAGGCATTTGATTGTAATCCCCAAAGAAAGTGGAAAGAAGGCAGGGTCGAGGACAAAATCAACATAACAAGTGAAGCACAAGCCGTCGGAATGTCGTGGGCTCAACTTGTAAAATTCGCCCAAAACCGAGTTCGATGCAGAGGTATGATGGTTTCATCCCAATACTCTACAAGGAGATCACGGGAATAATGACAACAATATAATGAGTGTTTAGTATAGAAATGTTATGTTTTTGTGAAATTAGAAACAAAATTTTAAAAGGTCTTGTTGTTGGTTAACTATATATATATATATATATGTATATATATATATATATAAAGCAGTGTGTGTGTCTATGTGTGTGTTTTTTATGCATTGTCACACCTCTTATCACATCGCCGTGAAACTTTGGGAAGTTGTTGAAAATATTCCTGGGGGGGGGGGGGTTCTGCGAAAAAAAATTCAAATTCGCAGGGGTGGCGCCCCGGCAGGGCGCAATTTATTTTTTCTCTATATACGGTATATAAAAATAAAAGTCGATTTTGGTTTGACACCATTCATCCGATTGCCATCAAACTTTGGTGAGTTCATTAGAACATTCTGGGGAAGGGTTCTGTAAAAAAAAAATCATGTTTAATTTTGCAAGGGCGGCGCCACGGTAGGGTGCGATTTTTCTCTATATACGGTATATAAACATAAACGTCGATTGCGGTTTCACGGCATTCAAAACACACCAAAAAAAAATAACTACCTTCAGTGGCGTAGGCAAGGGGGGGGGAGAGGTTATAACACCTTCCATGGACCCTTATATATATATATATATATATATATATATATATATATATATATATATATATATATATATATATATATATAAATTAGTGTAGTTACATAAACAAAGTATTTAGTTGTCAACAAGGACATTGCCAAAACCAAAACGACTATTATGTGTAACAAGAGGCGTAGCGACGGGGGAGGGGTACATATGTCCCCGGGCGCCGAACCCAGGGACGCGAAAATAAGCTCATTTTAGCTGCTAATTTGAATTATAAATATAAAAAATATATGGGGCGGGCGCAAAATTGAAAGTTCGTCCCCGGGCGCCGGGAGGGTTCGCTACGCCTCTGTCTGTAACTAGTGATAGCAGTGTGGTTGTTGTCTGTTAACAAGGACAAGGTCAAGATCAAAACCAAACCGAGCTATAATGTAACTGTGAGGTAAAGAATATGTTGTTTCGTAACTGGGGTGACTAAAACAGAATTTGACTTATCAATAAGAAGTGACACTTTGATATATATATATATGTTACGGTCAAAGCCCGAAGTGCGGCCAAAGCGCGCATTGGCCGGCTCTCTTGGCCAAAGCCCGAAGAACTTAGCACTAAGATCGTATTTCGTACATTGGCCGGCCAATGCGCGCACTGGCCGAGACGTACTGGCCAAAGTCTGAAGCGCTTAAACTTGACAGCGTATTTTGTACATTGGCCGTCCAATGCGCGCACTGGCCGGGATGTCCTGGCCAATGTTCTAGACTCTAGACTAAGTTGTTCATTATTCTGTGTGCGTTTTCATTGAGAGTAACGTATTGTTTAGCTCTTGTTTGTATAGCATTCTATATGCAAGACGACATGGATCAAAAGGGCCGTCAGACCATGAGACAGACATAGCAGATGGATGTCAAAAGAAAAAAATGTAAATCCATGTTAGTTTCCATATATGGGCTCTCGATAAAAGAGTTACTGAGGAAGATCTTGAGAACATTGAACAAGAAATGGATGTTGCCATAAATGCAACGACATCCTCAGCTAATACATCTGCTGCCGTGGCGGAACGCCCAGACCAGTTGCGTGATAATAATGTGGCCAACAGATTCTATATAGTTTGTGAAAAACATTCTATTGCAGCTCATTATTTTGGATCCTGTGGCAACGATGTCCATGCTATTTGTGGAATACCCAATGAAGCAGACGAAGGGTACGGAGGGAACATTACCTGCAGATTGTGTCACAACAAACAAGACATCATGGAACACAGATAGGCAGCTCATGCTGGCTTGCAAACTCAAGGTGCTAAGATGCTTACAACATCAAATACAAAAGTTAAAGATGGTGAAGTGGGTGACAATGTACGCATCCGTTTTCCAGATGTTGACAGAGGTCACGGTGATCCCCGAAGCGTGATTGCAGTTGTCATGAGCGTCGAGGGCGGTTTCTACAAATTAGGAACGGAACATGGTGTTCTAAAAAAAATGTATGCTAGAAGTGAGTTTTCAATTCTTCACGAAAAACTGCTCTTATTGTCGTCAGTTGGCACCGAGGAAAAATCACTACGAACCATCGCATCTTCACGATCATTGACTGGGAGCCAAGGCTACACTCGCTGCAATTGCACAACTAAATGCACAACAAATCGCTGCAAGTGTAAAAATAACAAGCTGCTATGTAATTCTAAATGCCATAAAAGTTCAACTTGTTGTAACAAATGATGATATTGATAGATTGAGACTATAGTACGATAAAAAATTTGAATGTTTCTGTCATTTACTTTATTTAATAATCAATAAAGACTTAATTTCATTATCCTTACGGCATAAAAAAAAACCCAAAATCTGCTCATGATCTTCTAATTCGGACTTTGGCCGGTCGTCCCTAGCAAGATGATCTTCTAATTAAGACTTTGGCCGGTCCACCATGGCCAGTCCGCGGACTGGCCGGCCAAAGGCCGAAATCAAGAGCTATTTCAGACTTTGGCCGGTCCACCATGGCCAGTCTGCGGATTGGCCAGCCAAAGGCCGAAATCAAGCAAAGTTTCGGACTTTGACCGACCTATGGGAGGCGATATTGGCCAATGCGCGGATTGGCCGGCCAATCCTAGCATTGGCCGACTTCGGGCTTTGACCGTAACATATGTATATATATATATATATATATATATATATATATATATATATATATATATATATATATATATATATATATATATACATACATATATATATATATATATATATATATATATATATATATATATATATATATATATATATATATATATATATATATATATATATATATATATATATATATATATATATATATTAGCATTGTCCTTAATTTCGACATTTGTATTTTTCAATGAGGGCTACCACCTACCCACTCTCCAACCACACACACACACACACACACACATACATACATACACACATTGAGTTTCCGTTTTATGAAGAAGAAAAATTAACTTAAAATATTATCTTTATATCGGAAATCATAATAAAAATGCTATAGTATTTTCTGAAGACGAGCGTTAGTCTGAATAAAGTCAAGCTTTTGTAACCTATTTTCATTTTCTTTCATCTTTCTGCATTTAAGAGTATTTCCTCCAACTCACGCTATAGCATACGAGATGTTAACAGTTAATCCCCTGTCCTGTGTTTCTATGGAAAACTGTGTGGGTGCTTTATGAAAGTTAACACAAACAACAGTCAGTCTCATGGGTTAGGCGGGTCAAAGTCACCACACCCTACTCATAATAATTCAGGATTTGATTAGGCCAGTTCAGACTATGCAACTATTAAGGTTTCTGTGAATGCGTTAATGAGATCGTTACGTTACCTCCAAAAAGGAAGAAAGAACTACTGATTAATACATGCATCAATTTTAATATGAATTTAGCGAGGGAATCCAAATAAATTCTGCACGTTTTTTTCAGCAATCAACGAATCCTTTGGTGCATTTAAACATGTCGTACTAAAAACGTCAAAGTACAATGAATTCTATAATCGTGATTTAATGACCATAATTAATTCCTAAAATTTTTTTTTAATTCAACATAAATATTTTTTATTTAATTAACAATATAGTATGATCCTATTAAATATTATCGTTGTTTTCAGATCCACATTTTTAAAAATTCGTGTCTAATGTTCAGAGCGCCGTCCGTTAACGAAATCACTCAAATAATAAGGAGAGGGTGGGGGTGGTTTGGGCATTAAAGACGATGGAAATGATGTTGTGGTGTGGACAAATTGTAAATATACACTTTTGCTTATTATAATTTTATTTTGTGTTGTTTCCATTAAATTTAATCCTATGAACTCGCTTAGACAACCGGGAATTTTGCAAAACATTAATTCTAAAATAAATGTTCCGTCTGTCATTCGATTGGTTTTGCAGCTGGTACATATATAGGCTAATATGGGAAGATAAAACATCCTAATTATAGAAGTAATACATTATAAACTGAGATGAATTTAAAAAACATTAATTCATGAAAGATTTATTATAAGAAAAAAATTGTGATATTAAATTAATTGTCAACGGCGCGGTGAGGGTAAAAAATTATAATACAACTGCAGTAAACAATGTTGTTGGCAAACTTGGACATACCTTCAGCTATTTTTGTTATCACTGAGTTTTTTTAGACCACCAAATATCAGTAAGTAGTTATGTAATACACACACATTATTTTCATAGCCATAGCCATAGCCATAGCCATAGCCATAGCCATAGCCATAGCCATAGCCATAGCCATAGCCATAGCCACAGCCACAGCCACAGCCACAGCCACAGCCACAGCCACAGCCACAGCCACAGCCACAGCCACAGCCACAGCCACAGCCACAGCCACAGCCACAGCCACAGCCACAGCCACAGCCACAGCCACAGCCACAGCCACAGCCACAGCCACAGCCACAGCCACAGCCACAGCCACAGCCACAGCCATAGCCACAGCCATAGCCATAGCCATAGCCATAGCCATAGCCATAGCCATAGCCATAGCCATAGCCATAGCCATAGCCATAGCCATAGCCATAGCCATAGCCATAGCCATAGCCATAGCCATAGCCATAGCCATAGCCATAGCCATATGGACGTACATGGATGGATGGATGGATGGATGGATGGATGGATGGATGGATGGATGGATGGATGGATGGATGGATGGATGGATGGATGGATGGATGGATGGATGGATGGATGGATGGATGGATGGATGGATGGATGGATGGATGGATGGATGGATGGATGGATGGATGGATGGATGGATGGATGGATGGATGGATGGATGGATGGATGGATGGATGGATGGATGGATGGATGGATGGATGGATGGATGGATGGATGGATGGATGGATGGATGGATGGATGGATGGATGGATGGATGGATGGATGGATGGATGGATGGATGGATGGATGGATGGATGGATGGATGGATGGATGTGTATATATGCATATATGCATACATGTACAACTATATTTTTGTGTGTGCGTGCGTATGTAACTTCTCTTGAAAAATATATCGTGGTAATGTAATGTTTGTTTCAGCCAAAATGGGATTTACAATGTTAGTTTTGTGGATGTGTGTGCTGACTTGGCAGATTCAGTTGGCACGCTGTTGTGGTCCGAGAGTCTACAATCTTGAAAAATCTGCCCAAGGAACTTTGATCCGTCTGCATAACATTTTGAAAACTAACAGGGGTTTACCACGTTTAGTAAGTTAAGCTTGATTGTTGGTTTTGTTTAGTAAAAATGTTAATAATTTAAGTAAAATAAAAACCTCATATCGATTCGAGAGCCTGAAACAGACGAAGGTATAAAAGTATCACTTGATATAATAAACAAAATGAATATCTATACCTGTAAATATGCATATACCTACCACGGTTAGTTTTCTTTTCTCCCACCGAACTCTGTCCTTAACGACAAAATATCACGTTTTCTGCTCTGATAGGAATGGCAAGATTCGATGGTGAGGGAAATCAACGCCATGATACTTAATACTTGTAATTACGCACCAACTGATTTTGAGGATACGATTGTTGATTTTCAAGTCAAACAACGTAAGTGAACTAAATGACCCTATTTCAGGGGCGGAACTACAGTGCCGCCAGACCCCGCAAGGGGGGGGGGGACACGCCGTTTAGGGGCCCTAAGCCGACCATAATCAATTTTTTTTTACTTAAAAAAACTTAACTTTCTTTCATTTTTGACTTGATAGTTGTTTTGTTAAAAGAAAACACCATCCCACGCTCTTGTATATTTTTTTTTTCATTTGTTTTTAAACTATAGAGTCCTTGCAAACACGTGACCTAAATCACGTGATACCTACGCCCGCCGCCACAGTGGTGTACATCAGACGTAAACACAATCAGCTGTTCGCCAGCGCTGGACGTGTTCACCAGTGCTGGACGTGTTCACCGTATGTTAAGAATCGCGCCCGCGGAAAAGGAAAAATATGTTAAAAAACTTGAACTCTTAGGAATTGAAGATCCTTATACAGTTATTGACAGTTTCGTGGATAATATAAATATGTGGCCGAAATTTCTAAATAAAAATACTGTTAGTAATACCGTTTGCGTTTAGAGTTTAAGTAGACGAAGCTGATCAAATGCAGTAATATATTAGAGGTTATCTACTGTAGCAAACGTGAGACCACTTAACTCCTACAAAACCCACACTACAACGGCTAATATAATCCATGGGTAATAACCAATCTGGGTAGCATGTTATACAATTTAAGACCCTTATAATCCAGCAGGGAAATAATCAGACACATTAATACTGACGTTCAACCCTCATGATGGCCCTCATGATGGCTGCCCCCACCTGTATCTAGCCCACAATAAAACCCAAGAGGAGTCTGCCCTGCCCTCCCCTGAAAATGTCTCACCTCCGTGATACCCAGCCCCACAGAGATAGTATTTCTTATATAATTTTGACCCTCAGGGCCCAGCAGGGAGAACAAAGGGGAAAGTCCCACTGCTCTCCCCTCAACACTTCTCACCTCGGTGTCATGTTATGTCATTTATAGCACACACGGCTTATCAGGGGAAAGCATTAAGGCATTAAGAATCTTAACTCTGGACAGCTACACACTAGTATACTAGCTACACACTAGGTGCCTACTGTAAACTACTAGACTGTAGGCCCTATGTAGACCTGCAATTGTATCAATTGTAGACTGGGTCCATTGTTATTATTCTAAACCATCTCACTTGTAATGTTTCTAGCTTGATTTGTTTCTTTTATAAACAGTGGATTTAAAAAAAAAATTTAGCCCAATCATTAACCTAATAATAATAATGTGGTTATTTGTTGTTGGCTGGTATGATCTAGATTGTACTACTAGGCTACAAAAACTTAGTAGACCAATTACTAGATATGAATTTGAATTTAATTAAACTCAGTCCAGTATCAGATACATATTGCTGTAAAAAGACAACAAAGTAGGTAGGCCTGAGTAATTTATTAAAGCCTTCTACTACAATAATATCAACTACATGCTTGTATAAAAATTTTACAATTTAATTTAAGTAGCAGATTCTAGATCTAAGTCTAGTCATATAATCTATTTCAATTTCAGAAAATTTCGTTTGCTAAAAAAATGATTAGATAATAGAGCGAGATTTTAGATCTTAGAGACAATTAAATGCTTTATTAGGCCTATTATGACTACTTTTGATTTATTATGGGTGTATTTTGAATCGAATGTAGATCTAAAGTAATTAAATTTAAGTAAAGAAGTAGATTCTAGATTCTATGTCTACCCAGCGGAGCCAGGTATAAGCCTACTATTAGATCTTATTATTCTTATTAGCCTATAATATTACTTTTGACTTTGTCTTTTACTATTAGTATTTGTGAAGGTCGAGCATATTTGTTTTATTAATAGTTATCTTTTATAATTAAAATGAAGTTTATTATTTTACTGTCCTTACATGAAACAAAGTATCGAGAACTGCATTTGATCAGATTCGGCTACTTTAACTCTAAACGCAAACAGTATTACTAACAGTATTTTTATTTAGAAATTTTGTCCACATATTTATTTATACGAAACTGTCAATAACAGTATAAGGATCTTCAATTCCTAAGAGTTCAAGTTTTTTAACGTATTTTTCCTTTTCCGCGGGTGCGGTTCTTTACATACAGTGAACGCGTCCAGCGATGGTGAACACGTCCAGCGCTGGCGAACAGCTGATTGTGTTTACGTCTGGTGTACACCACTGTGGCGGCGGGCGTAGGTATCACGAATGGACGTGACGTCATATGAAAGGACTCTATTGTGAAAGATAGGCAAATGTTTAAACCACCTTCATGACTTATTTCCCTTTATTAAATAGTCAAATAGGGGTGCTCATAAGCACCTTTTCCTAGATTTGTACTAAACGATTAAAAAGAGCAATTAATTCGCTTAAATACTTAAAAAAATATATATACTAAAGAATGACATAGCAAAAAAGGAAAATTTATTTAAAAATAAATAATATAAATACAAAAATACATATAAATAAACATAACACGAGAAACCATTACATTAAAAAAGCTTTGATATGTGATATTCTTTTGACCTTGTAAAAAATATTACGTCCGCCTTTAAATAATACTTATTTTCAAAACACACTTAAATACACTCACACCCATGAGACGTTGTAATTTATATTAATTGAAAAAAAAGACATTTTTTTTTCAAAAACCGATCAGGCCAGAAATGAGTATCCTATGTTCTTATTTATATATATATATATATATATATATATATATATATATATATATATATATAATATATATATATATATATATATATATATATATATATATATATATATATATATATATATATATATATATATATATATATATATATATATATATATATATATATGGTAAAGGGGTCCCAGCATTTTTTTTGCGGGGGTAGCCCTTTTTTTCTAGTTCCGCCACTGCCCTATTTATGCTCGTTTGTAAGTATTCCTTACTTAAATTTGAGATAAACTAATCTATTATAGAGGACTATGGCGTGTGTGCTCATTAAGCAGAATATACCCTACGCTCCCTTGGGTTTGGGAATATATAAAATGTATGTAAATATAAACGTTTCAGAAAATATAATCACAAACGCAAACATCAACTCAAGCACAGTGGCGTAGCGAGGTCGGGTGTCCCGTCCCCCGTAAAATTTATATATATATATAGATAAATATATATATATCCATATATATATATATATATATATATATATATATATATATATATATATATATATATATATATATATATATATATATATATATATATATATATATATATATATATATATATATATATATATATATATATATATATATATATGTACATATATACATATATATATACATATATATATATATATATATATATATATATATATATATATATATATATATATATATATATATATATATGTGTACATATGTATGTATATATATATATATATATATATATATATATATATATATATATACATACATACATATACTAAGCATACTGCCTGGCTACGCATAAGTTTAAAAAAAAACTATTGAGAATTTGAATGATTAATTAATTTGTGATTGGCTGTTACGTGGAGTGCTTACGACATAAGCTCAAACAGTCTGAGTAATTTTATGTCATGCAAGCATTGGTTGAGTATTGGCAAACATATCACTCGCTTGGATTATTAGAACTGTAAAGGCCTTCTTAAAAGTATAAATCAAATAGTATATTAAATTTACTTTTGCAATTTATTTTCACAACTCCATTATAATAAATAACTTAATTTATAACAAAATGTCTATTTAAACGAATGCTATACTTCCATTTTTATTTAAAATAGTATACACATTATTTAGGAATGAGTACTTTTAAAAGTTTTCTCACCTGTACATGTACCAAAAGACGTAGTCTTTGTTTACTTTTTCACAAAACAATTGTTTATATAAGAAAATACGACATCTGGACAAAATCTAACGACCCTAAGGGTTTTTTCGACGGGAATAATGTTTTTTGTTACCCTCCAGGGTCGCTCTACGACCTCACAACAGATCATGTTTTTTCGTATTGTAGCTCAAATAAGGCGCCGGTCAGTCGAGGTCAGTTTTGATCCTCTCTTCGTGGACTTTGCGACCAACCGGCGCCGGCCCCCGTGTTCTATTTCCCCAAGGCAGGAGTCTGCGGCGCCGGAAAGTGCTCTGTCGGGCACTCGACCACATGTGTATATGTATTCACAAATATTTTTTGTATGTATTTAATTTTTTTACCCCCCCCCCCCCATACACGCATTAACATATAAGTTATTACGATTCTCAACCAAACCGTTTACCTCAGGCATAATTTGTAATGTTGAGCTAATGTAACTTCCCCCTACTCACCCCCTCACTCCACCCCCAAGGCGATTGCTTTAAACTGTGCTCAGATATACTACTAACGATTTTTATATATAGACGGTTACAAATACAGCTTGATGTAACATGTTTTCTCTAATTTGTTTTCTCAAATTTGCTCTTAAAAGACCATTTAATACTCTAATTAATCACTTAATTAAGTGGAATGATCATTTTTCTGTATATATTTTGCTATTTTTGCCTTGGTGTCACCCCCACCCCCCTTCCTTCCTTCCTTATACGGAAACCGGCTCAGAAGGTTGACCACCATTAGCCAGGCAGGCTTCAGTGTAGCAAACTCCGACCACAAGAGTTTCCAACACATCGGTCGCTACTTCCGTCGGCTCTCACCGGGCTTTCCTTCCCCACCCACCAGACGCGGGACGTCATCCTACCGCCGGGTACCCAGCTTGATCTTGGTGGGCGTTCGGCCATTCTTTGAACCTAGCACATACAGCAGTTCTACTCGGCCAGATCAAAAACCCTTTAGCTGCTGTTGGCTACCACTAGCAATTCCGCACCATTTAGGGGGGTCATGAGCTTGGTCCGACTAGTGGCACTCTTCCGAAGCCACGTGAAGGCCGAAGCTTATAGTCAAGATATCTGGTTAGGGTCGAGAGCAAACCCTTCTTGGTTCCCGGCAGTCTTGCACCTCTCCT